AGGGGGCGCTGTCGAGCCCCCCTGCCACGCCCGGGTACCATCTTCAGCCCGGCCCTGATGGCCGCGGGTTCTGACATGTGTGCAAAGTTTCAGGAGTTTTTGAGCATGTTAAGGCCTCCAAAAGTGTCCAAAAGGTAGTAAAAAAATAATAAGAAGAATAATAAATAATCCTAAGGAAAACAATAGGGCCTTCGCCCTTTGGGCTTGGGCCCTAATAATAATAAATAATAATCCTTAGGAAAACAATAGGGCCTTCGCCTTTTCAAGGCTTGGGCCCTAATAATAAACAGAGCAAAAACAATAGGGTCCTCTCACCATCGGTGCTCGGGCCCTAATAAACAGAGCAAAAACAATAGGGTCCTCTCACCATCGGTGCTCGGGCCCTAATAATAAACAGAGCAAAAACAATAGGGTCCTCTCACCATCGGTGCTCGGGCCCTAATTATGAAATTACTGTACATACAAAGTTTAAGTCAGAAAGCACTCTAAAGCTCATCTAATTGCATTTTATATACATTTTAAACTATTATACATGTTCGATTGATTTCAGTTACATGCAATTAAGGCCGGAGACACACTGGCTGCGTGGCGTGAGCGTGGCGTTTCTGTTGCGTGTCAGCTGCGTGGCGGCTGCGTCGCGTTTTCTGTGTCTTTGCACACCAGAAGCGTGTCTGACGCGGCGCTGCATGGCGTACACGAATACATATTCGCTATATGTGACATAGAGGGAGGGCGCCGACAGACCAGTCTACATTTGGATTACTGTTGCTCTTGCCTTTACGACAACAATTTCAACTTTTATCACGCATCTTCCAAAATCCGAAAAATAGGGAAACATGCGGCTGTCTGTTTATTTCAATAACATTTACAAATTTTGTGTAGCTTTAAAGAGCCTATATTTAGCCTACCTGATGTTGGACCGTCACTCAGAAGACACACTACGATGTTATTGTAGCCTATCCTAACTTTATATCCTCCTGAGGCCCAGAAAGTTTTTTTCAAAGAATTTTTTTGATTTTTTTTTCATGTAATCACATTGTTAAGAGCATTAGAAACAAATGAAAATATATATAGGCTATATTTTATTCATATGCTATGACCTCTGTAGTGGACACCAGGACTCGACTGTTTAAAAAATAAAATGACATGAAATTATATAGGCAAAAATAATGGGATTAAAAAAAAAAGACATTTATATCTGAATTTGTCAAAACCTAGATTTTCAAACATCAAAATGTAATTTATTAATATGTATTCGTGTACAAAATGACATATAAACATCTTTTCCTATACTATTTTGCCTGCAAACGCTTCCAACACGCTTGCGTGTCGCGTGAAAAATAGGCGTCGGTTCTATTTCTAGCATGCACGCGTTTTCCGCGCCTGAGACGCGCGTGTCACGCAGGCAGTGTGCAAGCTCTAACCTGTTAACATGGGAGCCGAAATAAAAACGGACACGCCACGCAGCTGAGACGCTCACGCCACGCAGCCAGTGTGTCTCCGGCCTAAGTGGCCGAAAACATTACATGTAGTTTCCACTTAAGTATATTCTTTGAAGGTGTATTATTTCCGTAGTAAGTACTCTTTTATAAAAGTATGCTAATGCGCACTTCTTTTTTTACATGAAACATGAGCTCAAATGAATGAATGTATGCAGTTGCAGGCAGTTTGACACCGCGTCAGCATAGGTCTTTCTATACCTTAGGGTATGCCTCTCATCTCAGCTCATCTTAAGTCATCAAAGCGCTTTAATCGGATTTCAAGCTAAAGACGTGTGTGGTGTGGATCAGGTTTTACAATGGAACTTTTGCTGTTCAGGCTACAAAAAAGTGTCAGATACACCAACCACACAAATAGACAGACAGACAGACAGACAGATCGCTGCTGTGTTCATCAGTGTTAGCTGTTACAGTATTCGTCATTGCTCTCCTCCCTTTCTCTTCGTCCCCTAGGATGCCTTTCCACTGATTCAGGCCCTTCACAGCAGATTGGGTTTAATGAGCTCATGCGGGCCTGGGTTGACCTCCTGGGCCGTTTCTTTACTAACTCACGTTACTGAAGTATGTTTGGGGCATTAGGGTAATTACAGACCCATCCTGAGGTGCAGGAACAAGAGCACTTCTCTTACAAACACACTCTCCTGTTCCAGCGCGTGTCATCTCTGGCTGATACGGAGGCGAGCGCTGGTGGTCTGAGATGTCTTTCACATGTGTTCTTCGAGGCACTTGGAGGTGTTCGGTTTGTGATATATTAAACACGACAGTTTAATCTGAGTGAGAGCCAGTGACGGTACACAGCACTAATGATGACAGTCTCCTCTAGGAATCTTGACAATCCGCTTTCAGGAAATATCAGCTCCATCCCATGAGTTTCAGTTACACAGAGGGTGTGAAGAGCACTGGACTGGGACTATCATTCATTCAGTCCTTAACCTTTCATACAGAGTTGAATTAGATGGAATGGTGCCTCATGGGAATTAAAATGAACCTGTGAAGTTGGGCCATTCAAACAATTATTTCTGAATAGTTTTTCTGATAAAAATGTGATTTTACAATGCAATAAAACAAATCCAGGTTTGCTGTTCTGGTTTGCAAGGATGCACAATTTGTCCAAAAATATTGTGATTATTTATCAGTATTGCAACCAATGAATGAATGCATGCATGAATGAAATTATTAAATTCAAATATAAAAATTACTAAATAAAAAACAAAATAAGAAATATTACTTTTGTAATATGTCACTGTAAAATAAAAAACATGTATAATTAATTCCTTAATTATCTTTTGTTGATAATCGCTACTCGTTATAAGTATGTGAAGATGGTTGATGCATGTTGCATTACCAAATATATATTAAAGCAGTCAAGAGACATGTGACACCAATAGAATCTAATGTAGTTGTAGTCAATTATCAGTCATTAATTATTACAATTTTAGACCATTCCTCACAATACTGTTAAATATACCGTATGCGTCATATGAACCATTGTTATGATAGTTTTATCGTGCATGTTTTGTCATTTTGAAGGTTGATATTTATTATATGGAAAAGAGCAGAAATTATATTTTTTAATAAATCCCCTTTTGTGTTCATACTGTCAGAATTATGTTTAGTTTTAGTGTCTTCTGTTCAAGTTCAAGTCATGGTTTTCTTTGTCTCTGTCTTGGGTGTAAGCTGTGATTGTTGCTGTCAGTCCCATATGGATTAATAGACTCACCAGTCCAAGTCGATTCCCTAACTTTCCTGGCCCCAATGGTTCCCACCTCCAATATCCTTCGTCGCAGCTGGTCCCGCCTAGCTCAAAGTCTTCTTCGTCGCTCAGCTCCAAGTCTCCTTTGATGGCCAGCTTCAGGTCTCCAGTCTCCAGTCTCCCTCTTCCGCCTCCTCTGCTTACTCCTTCCAGTCCCTCGGCCCCGCCTCTGCTTGCTCCATTCGGTTCCTCGGCTCTTCCTCTGTTGGCTCCGCTCTGCTGCTCTGATCAGTCTTGGGTTTTCCGGTCTCCATATCCGCCTTGGCAAGTGTATTCCCTGGCTCCACCTTGGGCAGCCGAGCCTGTAACTCCACCTCAGCTTGTTGAACAGTTGGCTCCACCTTTGCTCCTTGCCCCTTTGGCTCCACCTGGGACCGCCGTCCTCACAGCTCCACCGGGCTCCCTCGTCCCTCTGGCTCTGCCTTGGTCAGTTGTCGCTCTGTCTACTCCACGGACTTCCGGGCCTTTGGCTGTACCTCGTCCCTCCATCCTCGAGGCTACAGCTCAGTCCTCAGTTGTTCCACCTCAGTTAAGCGGCACCCTAGCTCCACCTCAGCTGCTCGTAGATCCACCTTGGTCTCCAGTCTCTGCAACTTTTTTTCTCTGCCTGGGTCTCCACCTCCACTGGCTCCGCCTCTGTCAGTTGTCCCCCTGGTTCTACCTGGCCTCTACACCAAGGGTCCACCATGGGACTTCATCCTGCTAAAACTGTTTTGGGTCACTCCCTAGCTCCTCCCACCGTCATCTCCTCCCTGGCTCCTCCCTCATCCTTGGTTTTCCCGTCTGCAGCTCTGCGCCCACCTCCAGAGCCCCCATCCTCCCTCCTCTGTTGGATATTGTTTCTTGTTATGGCGTGAGGCCGAGCAGAGAGAGGCTGGTGTAAATGCCAGTGGATATAATGAGTGAACAATTCTTGTTGAGAGTCACGAAAACAGAATACTGACAGTGATGGTCACAAGACAAGCTGAGAACTCAGTGTTCTAGAAAAGGTTCAGTTCGACAGGGGAAACGCTTGTGAAAAAGATGTGCACTCGTACTTCAAATCTTAAAGACGGACAGAAACGGACGAAAAGTTGGACAAAACAAAAGTTGCGATAGTCTTTTCTTCCCAATTATGCTGTATATCCAAGTGAAATGGCTTCTGGAAGAAGAAAAAAAAATGTTGGACGGGACTTGATTTTGTCCAGTTTGCAGTCAGTTGTGGGGGATATTTAGTCCCGCCCTCTGCGAAGACATACGTCATGAAGAGAACAGATGTCGTTTCGAGGGGGAGAGGAGTTTAATGTTTTTGATTTAATCGGTAGTTCACACAAAAATGAAAATGTTGTCATCATTTACTCACCCTCATATTGTTACAAACCAGTATGAGTTTTTTTTGTTCTGTTGAACACAAAAGAAGATATTTTAAAGAATGTTGACGGTAGACGTTTCTTGTTATGGCGTGAGGACACACCTTCTGGGAGGGGGGTGTAATGTCAGGATTATGTTTAGTTTCATTGTCTTCTGTTTAAGTTTCAGTCATGGTTTTCTTTGTCTCTCTCTTACGATAAGTGTGTAAGCTGGGATTTTCTCTTGTTTGGATTACCCTTTTTATTTATTGAGTTAAATAAAGTATCTTGAAGAAGCAAGCAATCTATTTCCTCACCTACTTCATCTTCCTCTGCAACTCTACGTGACACACACGTTTGGAACAGCATAAGTGAGAGAAATGATGACGGAATCTTTTTTTTTGTTGTTGTTGTTTGCAGTGGTGCCGTCGTGGTCAGTGTGTAAAGCAAGGCGATGAAGGTCCCAAGCCAGTGAACGGTCAGTGGTCATCCTGGTCTGGGTGGTCCAGCTGCTCGAGAACCTGTGAGAGTGGAGTGACCTACAGAGAGAGACACTGCAGCAGCCCCAGGTACATTCAGACCTGCAGTCGTGTGAAGGATCAGCCAATAAATGTGGAGTGAGAGGGTCTCCACTAAAGGCTTGTTCATAACAATTTTTGGCATGAAAAACATGCACAACAGGATTTTAAACTAAACAAAACAATGCAAAATTAATTATTTCACAGCAGCTTTGTTTCCTTCCACCTATTTTTATGCACATTTTGGGATAACTCATAAAAATCTGCTTGATGGAAACAACAAGAAATTCTAAAAATGAGCATAAAATCTTTTGCTTTTTTTTTGAGTTTTAGTTTTTTCAGTTATCTGATAAGAAAACATATGCATAAATTACAATGAAAACAAATCTAATAAATTCCTAGATTCGCATTAAAAAATGTATGTGACTTTGTGCGATGGGACAGCATAACTGGACTAACCAGTGGACCGATCTTTTTGAAATGCTGTTTTGGTTGTTCTGAAATACTTGATCAAAGTCTTTTATCAAAGTGGTTCGGTATAATTCCATTTTTTAGAGCTTTCTCCCACGACTGCGTTCCCAAACGTTGTTCATCTGCTCGCTCTAAGACGCAAGCAATGTATTATGTAGGAAAATTATTGTACACAGTGGCGTCTCCTACTTTATTCGCAAATGTTTTATGCAATATTCCAATTTTAAAATAGGTTAAATTCACAACTTTGGATGGAAACATAGCTAGTGAGTCTGATGTATCTAATTACTATGAATCAAATATCAACACTTCTATTCAAAATTCTAAGGTCAGTAAGATTTTTTAAATAAATGAATGTGTTTATTCAACAAGGATGCATTAAATGTATCCAAAGTGACAGTAAAGGCATTTATGATGTTACAAAACGTACTCGGTTACTAACGTAACCTCGGTTCTCTTACGAGAGTATCTCTCGTACTGCGTAATAGCTTACGCTAGGGGAAAAACTCTTTTCCGCGAGATATTGAAGCCAAAAATTATCCTTAATTTTTTATTAATGTAAAACGCTTTGCAGCAGCAAGCAGACATAGGCGAAACAGCTCGGGCGCCTATTGGTTGCTCTGCAGCAAATGCAGCAGCCTATCAAGAGAGACTCTGCGTGACGTAATGACCAATGGGGGCAATTCGCGCCCATATCGTCACGTCCCGCCAGAAGGGGCGTGGTCTCACCCTATAAATATGCTCGTTAGGCTGATACAAGCTGATTTTTATCACTGAAACGAACCAGAGCGTATTCCAAGCACGGCAAGATACGCAGTACTCGTTCCCTCTCTAGAGAGAACCGAGGTTACGTTAGTAACCGAGTACGTTCTCTTACGAGAGTATCTCTCGTACTGCGTAATAGCTTACGCTAGGGGAACACAATGCAACACGCCGTGCGTACAGGGATCCAACACCAAAGTCCCGGGGGCCGAAGCCCAGGGCTCATGTAGTGCATAATCACCATAAACTCACATAGAGTGGAGGAAGAGAGGCTGGAAGCGTCATTCCCTATAAAAAAGCACCCAGCGGGGCTATTATATGACAATAAAACGCGCAGCCAGGGTGAAAGCTTTCAGCCTGATCTGGGTGGCCATACGTGTGTCAACACTCATGGGGCTGCAGTAAACTCAGCATCTGGGCCGCACAGCGGGGCAGATAGCACTGAATTTTAGACCGCCAAAAGCTTAGCTTGTAAGGCGGGTACCTCCAGGTTATAGTATTTTATAAATGTAGACGGCGAGGCCCAGCCCGCGGCCGTACAGATATCTTGCAGGGAAACCCCGCTCGACCATGCCCACGAAGAGGCCACGCCTCTCGTGGAGTGCGCCCTGACACCCAAGGGGCACTGTAGGCCCTTCGCAGAGTAAGCGAGCGCAATTGCATCCACTATCCATCTGGATAGGCTCTGTTTTGAGGCGGCGAGTCCCTTGGAACGCCCGCCAAACAAAACAAAAAGCTGCTCCGTCTGTCTGAAAACAGACGAGCGTGACACATAAGCTCTCAATGCCCTGACGGGGCAAAGGAGACTCGCATCCTCCTCCTCACTGAGAACCGGAAGGGCGGACAGGGAAATTACCTGGGCCCTGAACGGTGTATTGAGGGATTTCGGGACATACCCGTGCTTTGGTTTGAGAATGACCTTCGAGTCATTAGGCCCAAACTCCATACACGACGCGCTTACTGAAAGCGCCTGTAAGTCCCCTATGCGCTTCACTGAAGCGAGAGCCATGAGAAACACTGTTTTGAACGACAGGTGTTTCATGTCCACCAGCTGGATTGGCTCGAACGGGGCGCCTTTCATGGCCTCCAGGACCGTGGAAAGGTCCCACGTCGGGACTGAAGGGGGCCTGGGAGGGTTCAGCCTCCGAGCTCCCCTAAGGAAACGCACGACTAAGTCGTTTTTCCCCAGCGACTGGCCAGACGTTTTGCAAACGTTGCTATGGCCGCCACATATACTTTGAGCGTGGATGGGGTCCTGCCCTTATCCAGTAGCTCTTGAAGGAAGGAAAGCACTTCCGAAACCCCGCATTCCACAGGTGAAAAGCTCTGGGCTTGACACCATGCAGAGAAAACAGACCATTTCGAGGAGTAGAGCCGCCTGGTAGACGGAGCTCTAGCCTGCGCGATCGTGTTTAACACTCCTTCTGGGAGGCTAGCGGGTACCCGTTGATGGCCCATGCGTGCAGGGACCACAACTCCGGGCGAGGGTGCCAAATCGAGCCCTCCGCCTGAGAGAGGAGGTCTCTCCTCAATGGTACAGGCCATGGGGCAGTGCTGGTCAGCTGCATCAGGGCAGGGAACCACGTCTGGTTTGTCCAGAGCGGAGCTACGAGCAGCACTGGGCATCCGTTCTCCCTGATTCGTTCCAACACCTGAGGCAGGAGCGAGACAGGAGGAAAAGCATATAGGGGGCAGCGGGGCCAAACATGAGCCAGCGCGTCCTTGCTTTTCGAGAAAAACTCCGGGCAATGAGCGTTTTCGTGGGACGCGAATAGGTCCACCTGTGCTCTGCCGAACGTTTTCCACAGCAGCTGGACCGTCTGCGGGTGCAGCGACCATTCCCCTGCTGGAACATTGTTCCTGGACAGTCTGTCTGGTCCCACATTCAGGTGACCAGGCACGTGCGCTGCTCTCAGTGAGAGCAGGTTGTGCTGAGCCCAGACCAGGAGGCGTTCCGTCAGCCTGTGAAGGTTTCGTGACCTGACGCCGCCCTGGCGATTTATGTATGCCACCACTGACATGTTGTCCGACCGGACCAAGACGTGGTGGCCTGTTACCTGGGGACAAAAACGCCGTAGCGCTTTGTCGACTGCTATCATCTCCAAGCAGTTTATGTGAAGGAGCTTTTCCCGTTCTGACCACAGGCCAGCTAGCGGTCTGCCCTCGAGCAGCGCTCCCCACCCCGAGGTGGAGGCGTCCGTAGACACCACCTTCACACTCGAAGCGGTCCCCAGACTCACACCTGACTGATACCAGTCGGTTATTTTCCAAGGTTCCAGAGCTGAAACACACTGAAGGTCGACCCTGAGGCGAAACAGACCAGCTGTGCATGCCCTGGGTGGAACCCGCGCTTTCAGCCACATCTGCAGTGGGCGCATGCGCAGCAAGCCCAACTGGAGTACAGAGGCCGCTGAGGCCATCAGCCCCAGCATTTTCTGAAACCTTTTGAGCGGAACTATCGCGCCGTGGCGGAAGGATTTCGCGCCGCGCTGAATATTTAGCCCGCGCTCTGGTGACAGGCGTGCTGTCATGGACAGCGAGTCCAACACGGTTCCCAGAAAGGAAATTTTCTGACTGGGAGACAGTGAGCTCTTCGCCCAATTGACTGTGAGGCCCAGCTCCTCGAGGTGCTCGAGTAATGCGGCCCTGTGTTCTATGAGCTCCGATCGTGATCGAGCTAGAATCAGCCAATCGTCCAAGTAGTTCAGGACTCGCATGCCCTGAAGTCTCAGGGGTGCGAGCGCCGCTTCCATGCACTTCGTAAATGTACGTGGTGCTAGGGACAGGCCGAACGGCAGGACTGTGTATTGATATGCCTGGCCCTCGAAAGCGAATCTCAAGAATCGCCTGTGATGGGACGCCATTTGTATTTGGAAATAGGCGTCTTTCAGATCTATTGACATAAACCAGTCCCCGTGGCGCACTTGCGCGAGGATTTTCCTGGTCGTAAGCATTCTGAACTGGCGCTTCACAAGCGCTCTGTTCAGCTGTCGCAGATCTAAAATGGGTCTGAGACCTCCATCTTTTTTCGGTACCAGAAAATATCTGCTGTGTAGGCCCCCTTTGCTCTGAGCTTGAGATAAAGGTTCTATAGCACCTTTGCTCAGTAGTTTCGCTATCTCGGCTCGAAGTAGATGAGATACTTCGTTTTCCACCGTCGTCTCGACGCGCGCTGTATAACGGCAGGGACGTCGAGCGAACTGTAGCGAATAGCCTCTATTTATAGTGTTCAGCACCCATTCTGATACCCCAGGAAGCTGTGCCCACACTTTCGCGTGAATAGCTAGGGGTAGAATGAGATCTGGGCTCTGGCCGAGACATAGTGACGGCAAGAGAGCTCCGGCGTGCTGTAACGCAGACACTGTGTTTACAGTGTGTGAGGCGGGGGGCGCGCCGATCGCGGCGGGCAGCCTGGCCGCGCTCAAAACCCTTATAGCAGTTTGCTGAGGGAGAGAGAGCGGGGCGAGCCCCGTGGGGCTTAACATGTCTGTGAGTGAATGTGGGCGCAGGACAGCGGGCACATTTACTGCACTGAAAAACACCGTCGGCCTGAGCTGACTGAATGCGTGTTGGTTTCGTTTTCACAGAACCCGTGGGACATGTGGTGTGTAGTGTTTGTGGGCACTGAGACGTAGGCACATTCACTACATTTAGTGCACAATCGACATGAGGCGATTTTGTTTGTGCGAGCCCTGCATTTTTGCGGGCTGTGTTTGTGTGTAGAAATGAGCCCTGGGTTGTAGGCATTTTCAATACACTCATAACACCATCGGCTGTGGCCGGAATACCAGAAAATACACCATTTATGTGATTTATCTGGGTCGCCGTGGGAACAGCATTTGTGTGCAGGCAAGCGGGCATGGTACTGGCTTGCTTACTGCAAAATACACTGGAACAGTCACATTTTCTGGAACTGAACGAGCGAAAATTTCAGTGGAAGTCTGGCCACGGCGAGACTGAAACACCGTCGATTTCCTAGGAGGCTAGGAAGACTTGTGTTGGTTTCGTTTTCCAGAAACCGTGGTAGTGTTTGTGGGCACTGGGTTGTGGGCACATTTACTACATTTAATGCACAATTGACATGCGTCGATTTCATTTGTGCGAGCCCTGTACTGTGGCGGGCTGTGTTTGTGTGTAGAAATGAACACTGGGCTGTGAGCATTTTATTACACTTATAACACCATCGGCTGTGGCCGGAAAACCAGAAATACAATGATTGCATGATTTTTCTGGGTCACCGTGGAAACGGCCTTTATGTGCAGGCAAGCGGGCCGTGGTACCAGCTTGTTTACTGCAAAATACACTGGAACAGTCGCATTTTCTGGAACTGAACGAGCGAAAAGTTTTTGGTGGAAGTCTGGCCGCGGCGAGACTAAATTTTTATCTGCTGCGAGAGCCGGGATCGAACACGGGTCTCTCGCGTGAAAGCTTCGGGTTCCGCCACTGGGCCACAGGGAGAACTACACTAGCGCAAGCAGATAAGAGAGCGTCATCACAGTTTTGTGTGTGTCGGCGTTTGTATGCAGGTGTGCGTGTTATACAACAGGCTCATTGCTGCAATAATGACATTTTCAGCCGCTCAAACTAGGAGCCGAGAAATGTTTAAGAAATGGAAGCTTTAGCGTTAAGTTCTGCCAGGAAGACTCAATTGCTACGTCACTTATTACCTTCTCATCTATCCAATCGTGTCTAATACTTGCGGTATAAAAGACCAGTACTTACACATGTTTGAGTTCGCAGATGCTGACGCTTTCATTCACCTCCATCCTCCCCACCACCACCAGGATGGTCCCTTCCCCTCCATCCTCCCCACCACCACCACCAGGATGGTCCCTTCCCCTCCATCCTCCCCACCACCACCACCAGGATGGCCCCTTCCTATACCTCACAGGGGGTCGGCTGCGCCCCTGCCTTCGTCTTCAGGCAGGAAATGCAGAGTCCGGACCCTCGGATTGTGAGCTATGGACGGGGCCTACGCCAAAGAACTTTATTGCTTGCTGGGCTATCAATAAATGTATTTATTGTTACAGTATTTATTCTCCCGAGTCTTTCTGGTAGAAATGGAGATTAGTCCGGCCTCGGTGGGGACTAAAACACACTCTTTTCTCATTTGCCGGTGACGCACGCCCATGGGGGGCGGGGTAGATTTCTTATAACGTAAAGAAAGCTAGCCGCGGTTTTAGGGCTTGCGGTCTTGATGCTGGCCCGTTTCCTTGACGACTCGCAGACAGAAGGCGGAGGTCCACAGAGCTCGCCTGTTGCGCGGCGGTTGCGCGGGCGCTTCCCAATCGAGGCCGATGCTTTCCACGGCCTGAGAGAGCAGACGCATCAGCTCAGTCTCAATGCCGGCTCTCTTACCAGTGGTCTGGCGGGAAACGCTAGCGGAGGGGAGGTCCACGGAGCTCGCCCAATCCTCGCTATCGGATGCCAGAAGAGAACACGCCTCGGTGGGTTTGTCAAACTCGTGGATGGACGCGGCGGCAGGCGGCGGCCGTTGTCCGTCAGTGAGCGACTCGAGCGAAGCCGGCGAAGCTGGCGGGCGAACCGGCGAGCTTTGGCGGGCTGGAGAAAGCTCGGGAGCGCGCTGGGCGCGGCGCTTCTTGCGGCGTGGCACCACGGCGGGCTGCGGTGAAGGCTCGGAGAATGATGCCAGGCGAGTCCTCAGAGTCACCATGGGCAAAAGCTCGCAATGAGGGCATCCGCCGTCAGCGAGCGCGAGAGCCGCGTGATCCTCACCCAGGCAGGAAACACAGATGACGTGCCGGTCTCCATCGCTGAGCGGGGCGCGGCACGAGCCACAGGAAGGCATCTTTAAAAAGACGCAGCTCTTTTTGTGAGAGAAGTGTGAGTCGCGTCAAGTAAGCGAGCAAACACTCTCAACAGAGTAAATACACACAGAGTATGAAAGGATATAGAACGCCGGAAAGCGCAGCAGGTACGGCAGTTGAAGGCGGCGAGGCCAGCGACTCCAGAGCTCGTCCCGCTGAAAGGCTTGCTTCGACGGCGCGGCTTCTCACTCCGGATCCAGCGATGCGTGTGCTTCGCTGAAGAGGTAAAAATCAGCTTGTATCAGCCTAACGAGCATATTTATAGGGTGAGACCACGCCCCTTCTGGCGGGACGTGACGATATGGGCGCGAATTGCCCCCATTGGTCATTACGTCACGCAGAGTCTCTCTCGATAGGTTGCTGCATTTGCTGCAGAGCAACCAATAGGCGCGCGAGCTGTTTCGCCTATGTCTGCTTGCTGCTGCAAAGCGTTTTACATTAAAAAAAAATTAAGGATAATTTTTGGCTTCAATATCTCGCGGAAAAGAGTTTTTCCCCTAGCGTAAGCTATTACGCAGTACGAGAGATACTCTCGTAAGAGAACATAAATGCTGTTCTTCTGAATTTTCTATTCATCAAAGAATTGTGAAAAAAATGTGACACTGAAGACTGGAAGAATGATGCTGAAAATTCAGTTTTGCCATCACAGGAATAAATAACATTTTAAAATATATTCAAATGGAAAACAGCTGTTTTAAATTGTAATAATATTTCACAATATTGCTGTTTTTACTGTATTTTTGATCAAATAAATGCAGCCTCGGTGAGTATAAAAACTTCTTTCGAAAACATTTTAAAATCGTACAGATTTGAGATTTCTGAACAGTAGTGTACATTTTTAATCTAGGCTGATTTAAAAAAAAAATTGATTAGATGTAGCAAATTTCATTTATGTGTCCAGTATTTAATTATTTATTTAAGTTTTGTAGCAAGAGTTTTGCTCTATAATAGTCTGTTCTCATGGCAATCGCAGAACTCTTCAGAAGTGTCAGCTTTAATTTCTCTCATCTTTCACCTGAGCCTTAGATTTCATGAAACTCAGAAACAGGGTTTCAACAGAATCGGAGACAGTGGGATACATTGGATCAATCTCTTATGAATTAAGTCCTACGTGATTTTTAATTTCCCACAAGCAGGAACATAATAAGCACTGCTGCATGGAAAATTGCTAGCATTGTAAGTGGGTTTGATTCTTGCTCTGATAATTGTTTGTCTTGTTTGTGATATGTTGCTTTATGCACTGCTGCACTTTATATACAAAAACTTTCCTCCGCAGAAATGTAATTTTAAGCGTCAAGAAAACTGATTCCTTGTCAATGTAGAATGACATCTTAATTTTATTGGCAATGCATCTCATTACTACAACAAACATTACAGCCACTTGGCAACCAAGAGTGATGAAGTTGCTGTCAGCTCTAACAGCCCATCACTTAAATCATGATGTGTCTCATCCTAGTTCTGTCTCATGATCGGTTTTCTTCCCTGTCTTTTCTTCTCTCTCAGGCCAATGTATGGCGGCAGGTTTTGCGAGGGCTCGTCTCGCTCTTATAAACTGTGTAACACTGCTGACTGTCCTCAGAACGCCATAGACTTCAGAGCTGCTCAGTGTGCCGAGTTCAATAGCAAGCCCTTCCGAGGATGGTACTACAAGTGGAAACCCTACACACGTGTGGACGGTTGGTCTAAACATGTATTTTTATTTTTGGTTGAGGGGATACTAGTACAAAATAAATATTCTAAAATGTGTTTGAAATACATTTATGATATGCTAAGTATACTACAAATACATTTACAGATTTATTTACTTAATATAAATACTCTGAAATTGTACTTTTAGTATATTATATTGGTATAATTAAAGTCTGCCAAATTGGAACAACTAATTTTGTACTTAATGCACTTTAAGAATCCTGAAGTCCTAAAGATATACTTAAGTATATTTGATTGTGTTAAAGAGGAACTATTGCAAGTATACTTTAGATACACTTTAAATATCTTGCACTTAAAGAAGGATATTACACAGAGATCATACTGTAACTAGGTTAGATGTTGTGGGAAGAAGGAGGCGGGAACCGGCGAACATTCAACAAACTTTAATACAAAAAATAAAACCAATACAAAAAAAAAAAGTAAAAGACAGCAGCCCCTCATGGACGACTGCGGTCACATAAAAATAAAACATAAACATCAAATAAAATAGTCCAGGCCTGGCCTCTCTCATTCTTCACTGTCGTCGCTCCTCCTTTTATGCTTCCACTCCTCCAGCCCTCGGCCTCGTCCTGCTCGCCACACTTACTATCCTTATTAGTAATGATATTAAAAGACAATTTAGGCTTAATATTAAGAAATGTGCACTGTGCAATAAGGAAGTACTCCAAATAAAGTTTAATTATAATATTTATCAAAAAGTCTCAAGTGATATGTCAGTAAATATGTTAATGGATTTGTAGTATACTTAGTATGAAATAAATGCATTTTAAATACATTTTGGTATAGGTTTTATTCACTAGGCGATGTATAAAAGAAATGAGCCGGTGCATTTGGCACAATTCTGGATGAAAACATTATTTATGAAGTTAGACTGAAGTGAAGTATGTTCATGATATTCTTTCACATTTTGTTTCTGTTACTCCTCCAACATGTAAATAAATGTGTCTTCTTTCCACCACACAATAAATTCTACGCATTTACGCACCAAAAAGAACATTAATGTCTATGGAGTGAAAGAGGTTTTCACCTCCCAAAGTCATGACGTTCTATATGGTCCTTTAGAAATGATTACAGTCATTCATCTTCTTGCAAATATGACTGGAATCTCTATTTTAAATTAGCTATTTAGCACAAAGTATCTTAAGATGGAGAGAGTTGGTTCGGATTCTACCACCGATCAGATGTATTTCAAGCCATTTCATAGTTTTTCTATGTGCTTTGGGTCATTGTTGTGCTGAAAAGATCTTCACGTTGGGTGAATGAGCAAGTTCTCATTAAGGGTCTTTCTGTATTTGTATCTGTATCCATGTTTTCCTTAATGGCAACAAGCTTTTCAGTTCCTCCTGAAAAGCAACCCCAATGCATGATGCTGCCGTCTAATTCCATCCATGATGACTTTGCCGCTTAGAAAATGTTGCTGGTTAAACATTTTTATTGGTTCTGGAACCACATGTCTAATCAACAATTCAGATTTTAGATAGAGGGTTAGGATTAATGTTAGAGTTTAGACTGGGAATGGGGCTTCTTATTGACCAGGTATTTCCCTCTGATTTTAAAGTAAGTTAATGGTGGGGGATTGGGTTATTATGACAGCATTCATAGCATTCAGATACAGAGCTTTGACAGTCTTTCTATAATCATTTCCAGATGTTTTCCAACTTAATCTCCTTAAGTTCATTGGGCTTGATTAGTTGTGAGACTCACCCGAGTCAGTGCTATTTGGTGTGCTATCAGACAACTGAACACAGATGGATTTGAAACCAACTCAGTTGTAGCTGGTTAATGTACTTTGTGTGATTTTAGAGTTAAATTTCTAGTGTGATTGAATAGTTGACTGGTAAACCCTACATTATGGGAACAACATGTTTTTAGGCTTATAAATCGTACTAAGTGATGTTTTTTTTTTATGTAAAATGCAGAAAGCTTACTGTGATGGGTAGGGTTAGTGTAAGGGGATAGAATATACAGTTTGTACAGTATAAAAAACATGGAAATTTATATGAAAATTCTCTGTTAAGATATAAAAACAAGTGTGTGTGTGTGTGTTGTTCCAGATCAAGACGTGTGTAAGCTGTACTGCTTCGCTGAAGGTTACGACTTCTTCTTCGCCCTCTCCAGTAAAGTCAGGGATGGGACGCTCTGCACACAGGACAGCGCCGATGTCTGCATTGACGGCATTTGTGAGGTAATGTACAATATTCACAATTTAGTATTTGTGACACTGTATAACCTGAGGTCTTTAGTAATTTTCTCTGTTGATATTATAACTGTAGATACTGTCTGGCCTTAATCCAGTTACTGGCAAATAAATGAGTAATGTACTTTAATAGTAGAGTAACTCTCAGCTGTTTTGAATGCAAAACATTCTTCACTCAGGCTTGTTCTATTCTCTATCCAGTGGTTTGATCTGAGTTGTAACACATGGCTACTATAATAAAAGCATCCCTGTTGTGCTTTAGGGGGGTTTTCTCTGGTAATGGACTACTGACACAGTTGTGCGTTACCATCAGAGCCAGAGTTTTTTAAGAGGGATCATCTGTAGTGAATTCTCACAGTGCTTGGTTTTATGTTTTCTTCTGCTGTGGAAATCCCTGCATTTCATTCCAGTGTAGTACAGAGAACTGAAAAAAAAAGGTATTTCTGGAGAGTCTCTGCTCATGAACACACATCAGTTTCATATTTCTTGTTTGGATGTTTGTAGCGAGAGAGCCAGCAACAATTCTGTTCCATTACATTTGACTTCAGCGCCTGCATTTCACTGACAACATTTCAGATCCGCTGTTATATTAAAAGAGCAATTGTGGTAATTTGAAATAGTGACACATTGCAGTGGACCAGAACAATTGTAGTTCAGCGGATTTAGTTTAAACAAGCAATAATGATGAATAATCTGAGTCATTTGTCATTTCATGTTTTAGATTATACATGAGTCGATGACTAAGTAGTGTGCACTGAAAACATCACAGAAAGAATATTTGTACACATGAACATACAAAAGAACTATTTAGCTGAGAGCATTTGATCTCTGTGTATTTCATACATGAACTCATCACCCTTTTGTGATTCTTTATATTATCTTTGCAGTTGGAAGCATCTTGTACTTCTTTCTTAATACACCATGTTTACATTTGAGCATGTGTCTGATAAACCTGTATTTACCTGATGGTCGCAGGCACAGGTGCAGGTTTATTCTCACCCACTGTGTAATTATTATAAGTTCGATTTGATTTGGACATGACAGAAAGGGCTGATATCTGTGAGTTGTTTTTTTATAACAAATCCACACTTTTCCACCAGTTTGACCCATTCGGTTTGACCCAACTACCATAGTACAATGCATCCTTTGGAGAAACTAACCAACTCCAAAGCCGTAGTAACATTATCGCACCTATGTCATTTGAACCGCATTGGTTCAAGAATAAAGGACTGTCGATAATGACATCATGCGACAAATGGAGGAGTAATTGTAACGAACGTAGGCCTGTAAGAACTGTGCATGTAAACCTCACTCCCCTGGGCTAAAGAGGCGTGCTAGCAACTGACACTAGATGCTGCGGTCTTTAGCATCCTTGTTAGCGCACCAGATAACCCGGTTTGAATCCCACTCGGAGCGGGTCAAGTAGGGTCGAGTTACATTTGGTGCCGTGACCCGGATGGGAGAGAGGTTTAGGGGAGTAAGTGTAACGGACGTAGACCATTAAGAGCTGTGTGTGTAAACCTCACTCACCTGGCCTCAAGAAGCGTGCTAGCGGCTGCGGTCTTTAACGTCCTTTTTAGTGCATGCGTCTATCACGCTGGAGACATAATATCTTATGTAACCTACTGTTACCTAATAACTTCTTCAAATCAATCTATTCGAGATCTCTGAGATGATTCTGTAATGAGCATGCCACCTGATGACTTCTTCACTGTTATTCTTCCATGTCATTTTGCTTTATTTGATGTTTGATTCATCATGGGTTCCCTCTTACTTCATTGCCTACTCCTTACTTCCCATATGCATTTATGCACATACACACTCCTTAAAAACACTGTTGATTGATGCTAAAATATATAGACTGACGCGTATATATATTCAAATAGAATGAACGATATGGAATCCACTGCTTACTTATTGTGTCCAAGAGCATGATATTTAAGTCCACATGTCATAATAATAAGAAACTATGCTTCTAACCACAGATTGAGAGCTATAGTTCCAACCATGTAAATGTTCGATGCTTTTTGCAAATGTTCGCAGGAACTATGGTTCCCTTTCAAGGGAACTGGAGCTGCCTCGAAACGCTGTGGGAGTGCCTCTGCGTGATTGCGTCATGAAGCACGTATGAAACCAGTCCAATGGCGTGACGGAACGTCATGTGATGTCATCGACCAGGAAACTATAAAGCACACCTGAATCAAACAGCGTCAGCTTCTGTGTCTTCAGCAAGCGCTCTATGTGAATCTATGTCCCTGCTGTTTTTTGTCTGTCTTAGAATTTGCTAGGCAGGAGTTTTCACCCATAAATATATATTTAAACAACTTTATAATGGCGAGTGAACAACATTTCAATAGTGTGTTCATCTCTACCCGATCTACATTAGGGGTGGGGATACACATGTATTGTGTGTTGTTCGTTTGGGAGCGCAGCACGCTCAGTCAGCCCTCGAGGGGGCTGAATATGAGCATTGTTGTGAGACAGTTGAGAACTCTGTGCTCCCGGGCGATCGCTCTTTGAGGAGGGCGACTCGGCTCGCGTTCCTAGCGGCTCGCAGCTCGCAAATAGATCTGGCAGAGGGGTTAGAGACGGGCTTCGCCCTTTCTCTGCCTTCACCTGCCAGGTCCAGTGTCTCATCTCGGGGTTCGGAATTTGAGAAATTGATGAAATATCTTTCTGGCCTTTTAGCTGCATAAAATACTATTTACTTTCTAAAATCCATGTTTATGGTAAGGGCACGCGCCGAGTGCTTTGTGCCCTTTCTAAAATCTATGTTTATGGTTTTATTTAACATTGAGAAATTAAATGAAATATCTTTCTGGCCTTTTAGCTGCATAAAATACTATGCACTTTCTAAAACCCATGTTTATGGTAAGGGTATGTGCAGAATGCTTTGTGCCCTTTCTAAAATCCATGTTAATGGTAAGGGTATGCGCCGAGTGCTTCGTGTCCTTTCTAATATCCATACTTATGGTAAAAAAAAAATCTGAGGATCGTTATTATCTCTAAGTAGGCCAAGAAGCCCTCATGCCGGGGCGCAGAGGGTCCCAGCTAGTTTTTACCTGAGGGTTGCTCGCTCCCTCCGAGGAGGGCTCCAGAGCAGTCAGGCCAGTTGTTCCCTGCCGGTACGCCGCTTCAGGGCACTGTGCCTGCTGTTCGCAATACACCCCTCCGTGGGGAAGACAGTTTCCACCTCAAATTTAACGGTGCCCTCAGGGGGCTGGTCTGCCAACCCCGCCTTCATGCTGGGGCGCAGAGGGTCCCAGCGAGTTTTTACCCGAGGGTTGCTCACTCCCTCCGAGGAGGGCTCTAGAGTGGTCAGGCCAGTTGTTCCCTGCCAGTGCGCCGCTTCAGGCCACTGTGCCTGCTGTTCGAAATACACCAGAGGCCAGTCTCAAGAGGCTGGTATCCTTAGTAGATCTTCTGGCAGTTTGGAAACTTCTACCAAATATATCTCGCGGGGTCCTGCAGACGGGGTCCTACCCACAGTGGTTGGCCCCGAGCAGGCTTTGGTTATGGAACTAGAAGTAAAAGCTCTTCTGCAAAAGGAGGCTTTAGAACGGGTTCCTCCGCCCAGCAGGTAGTCCGGGTTTTACAGCCGGTACTTCATGGTCCCAAGAAAGGATGGGGTGGTTTCGTCTGATTTTAGATCTGCGCTGTAGGGAAGCTAAATAAAAAAATCAAGATGCTTACTCTTAAGCAAGTCATGTCACAAATCAGGTCCGAGGACTGATTTGTCACGTTAGATCTAAAGGACTCATATTTCCACATATCCATCCTTCCACAACATAGGAAGTTCCTGAGGTTTGCTTTTGGGAGCGAAGCGTGCCAATATTGTGTTCTTCCTTTCATCAGCCAGCCACTGAAAAGCAGTTTCAAAAACTGTTAGGTCTGATGGCAGCAGCGTCCAACGCTATACTTTGCGGCCTGTTGTACATGAGACCGTTGCAGTGGTGTCTCAGGACCCAGGGGTTCTCCCCAGGGGGAAACTCGTTCCGCATGATCAAGGGCACGCGGCAATGCCTTCGTGCCTTAGTTATATGGAAAGAACCTTGGTTCCTGTTCCAAGGCCCCGTGCTGGGAGCTCCTTGTCGTCGTGTCTCGCTAACGACGGATGCTTCCCTCACGGGTTGGGGGCGATCATGAGTGGTCGCTTAGCCCAAGGTCTGCAGCATGACCATCATCTCTCGTGGTATGTCAACTGTCTAGAAATGTTGGCGGTGTTCCAGGCTCTGGAACACTTCCTCCCAGACCTGAGGGCTCATCATGTGCTTGTTCGGTCAGACAACACATCAGTGGTCTCCTATATAAACCATCAGAGGGGTCTGTGATCGGGCCGCTTATACAAGCTGGCTCACCAGATCCTCCTGTGGACCCAGGGGAAGCTACTTTTATTGAGAGCGATATATATCCCAGGGTACTTAAATCAGGGGGCAGACATCCTGTCGAGGCAGGGGCCGAGGCCCGGGGAGTGGAGACTCCACCCCAAGGTGGTGGAGCTCCTTTGGGATAACTTTGGTCGAGCTGAGGCCGACCTGTTCGCATCCCAAAAGTCGACACATTGTCCACTCCACGCATTTCCCCCGATTGTTCTGCTCACAGGAGTTCTGGAAAGGGTTCGCCAGGATGGGGTCATTCTACTGCTAGTAGCCACATTCTGGCCGGCCCGAGTATGGTTTGTGGACCTAGTGTCTCTTCTCAACGGCTCTCCTCTGGAGATTCCGATCAGGAGGGACCTACTCTCTCAGGCGAGTGGGTCGATCCTTCACCCCCGCCCAGAACTGTGGAAACTGTGGGCTTGGCCTCTGAGGGGGCCCAGCTCATAAGTTCTGGTCTCTCAACAGAGGTTGTTGAGACCATTCTCCACTCCAGAACTCCATCCACAAGGAAACTGTATGCCTTGAAGTGGAGACTTTTCACTTCTTGGTGTGGAGAGCACCAGTTGGACCCGGTTAACTGCCCAGTCGGTGCAGTGCTGGAGTTCCTGCAGGAGCGCTTCTCCACAGGGTTATCCCCCTTCACACTAAGTGAAGGTGTACGTGGCGGCACTAGCTGCTTACCACTCCCCTTTGAGTTGAGTATCTTTGGGGGACACCCACTAATAACTTGTTTCCTTTGTGGCACTTTGAGGCTGAGGCCAGCAGTCCACACGAGGGTGCCGACATGGGACTTGGCTGTTGTACTGGCTGTTGTACTCTCTCTAGCTCCATTCGAGCCCATTGAGGAAGTTTCTGAGAATATCTCTCTAAAGACTGTCTTTCTCCTCGCTATTTCGTCTCTCAAGAGAATTGGAGACATTTAAACACTTTCGGTATCTCCCTTGTGCGTGGAATTTGCTCGTGGTATGGTAAAGGGTTTTCTTCACCCTAATACCAGGTTACATTCCTAAGGTTCCTACTAATACTTTAAGACCTAGAGTACTGGAGGCTACTACTCTGGACGTCAGACCTAGAGAAACTGTATCAGCTCTGCCCAGTTAGGGCCTTAGATGCTTAAGTCCACAGAACTGTGGAGAAAGTCTAAACACTTTTCATTTGCTTTGGGGTACCCATAAAGGGGTGCCTGGCATCTAAGCAGAGGATGAGCAAGTGGGTGGTCAAGGCCATCTCACTTGCTTATGACTCGGCCAGTCAGCCTTCACCTTTGGCTGTACGGGCCCACTCCTCTTGGAGTGTGGCTGCACCAATCCAGGTGTGCAGGTGCTTTCGCCTAGATGTGCGCATTGATGTTTGGTTCAGGTCTGCTTTATAGTTTCCTGGTCGATGACGTCACATGACGCTCCGTCACGCCATTGGACTGGTTTCACACGTGCTTTATGACGCAATCACGCACACGCGTTCCCACAGCGTTTCGGCGCAGCGTCTCCAGTTCCCTCTTCTGGGAACTAGGGTTACATACGTAACCGAGACGTTTTGAGAAACACAGATTCATGAGTTCACATTTACATGTAACTAAATAGAGGAAAGGTTATGCATATTTGGCGTGCTGTCTGAGAGGAGGGCTCTGAGCTCGGAGTTTGGCCCGAACCCAGAGTATTCCTTTCATCCCAGGTTGGGATAGGGATAGTTAGAAGTGAGGAGATGGGGTGGTGGAGGGATGTTGGAAAACTGTCATGGAACAGATGTATGTCTGTTGTATACAGTATATACCTATTATATCATTAATTTAGTTGATTAACTGAATGTGCTCCTCCCGTGTTAATTATCTGAGTGCGCTCCTCCTGAAATTTGTTAATAAAACATCATATTGTTGAACTATGTTGGCAACAACAGAACTTTCCACTATAACTGGCTAACAATGCTTTTGGGAAATGCACCCCAGGCTGATTTTTGGACTATTTGTGGAAAGTATCATACAGTGTAAACAGCCAATAACATTGTCATGGAGGCACTTCCTCCTCTCCCGTGACTTTTCACCTGGTTACACTAAAATGTTGTAACTTAAGTGCTGTATTTCATGTTCTGTGCTTGCTGAGAGGTCATGATTTGTGTTTTCTAGAGAGTGGGCTGTGACAGGGTGCTGGGATCCAATGCCGTGCCGGATTTGTGTGGCATCTGTAAGGGCAACAACTCCACCTGCAAGATCTACAAAGGACAATACACCAAACAACATTATATGAGCCGTACGTGTCTTTATTCTCTGAACGTATGTACAATATTTGTCTGTATGAACAGCATTCTAACTAGGGCTGGGAAAAATAATGTCAATTTATGTGATTAATAATTGCTGTGTAATGCATTTAAAGAGGTCCGAATATGTTTTTTTACATTTTCAACTTTCTTTAGTTTCTGTTTGAGCATGAAAATGGTCTGCAAAGTTACAAAGTACATAGTCCACTCCAGCGGGAGTTATTCTGAATATCAGTGTCACTGTTTCTGAACTCCCTGAAATGCCTCCATTAGTCTTGAGTTTATTTCCGGTAACGAACACATCACAACATTCCTCATTTAAATAATTCCTCCTGGTTGAGTTAGTTAGTAGTGTTTGAAACTCTCTGTTATGGTAAGGGGCATGACATTTCCCAAACACCCTCTAAGCAGCTGACCAAACACAACACACTGGTCCAGTCGACCAATCAGTGCAAATTGCGCTTTTTTGGAAGTAGGGGCTTCACAGAGACAGAAACTAAACTGAGCGTTACTGAAAAACTGGGAAGAGAGGTGCTGCAACAATATAAAATATGTGAAAAATAAGGTGATTTTGAACATTCAAGCATGATAACCTATTCTATTAGACCGCAAAAACAAAATCAAGACTTTGAAAAAGGGCATAATATTTACCCATTAAAAAAATTAACGCAATTAGTTTTTCTATTTTCCTTCCTGATGTAGCTATGCTAATGTCTTTTAAATGTCTGATCCTTTACAGTTTAGGCCTGGCTATTAGTTATACTGTAATGTTGAATGGCTATAATTACTTACTTTATCCCTATTAACCGAACAAAAAAAAAACGAATCGGTTACCTAACGTAACCTCGGTTCTCTCTAGATGAGGGAACGAGTATTGCGTAAGCTAGCTTACGCTGCGGGAAAGATTCATCTTTGCTGAGAATTTGAAGCCAAAAAATTATTTCATAATTTGTATCCATTGACAAGGCAGTTCCTCTGCGGCAGACCTTGAGCAGGCTAGCTAGCGGCTCATTGGTTCGCTCAGAGAGAACTGCTTAAGCCTATGGGAGAGCGGGGCTGAACCCGCTGCCAATGAGAAGCGCCCGTGCGCTCATTGCGTCATGGCCCGCCAGAATGGGCGTGGCTATGGTGTATATAACAGTCTCTCCCAGGCTTATATGTTGATTTATTTCAGCGTGAAGCGAAACGCTAGTAGCGCAAGCACGGCCGGGAACGCAATACTCGTTCCCTCATCTAGAGAGAACCGAGGTTACGTTAGGTAACCGATTCGTTCTCTTACGAGAGGTTCTCTCGTATTGCGTAAGCTAGCTTACGCTGCGGGAACACCTGGTCAACGCCGTGCGCGCTATGAATCCACTCATGAATCCCGGGGAGATACCGGGGGATTCTTAACGTGGAGTGAATGTAATATGAGGCCGGCAGAGCGGGCACATGAAGTGAATACATAAGCATCTAAGGGGAGCACAAGGGGCGAACCGGTTGTGTGAGGGACTCCCAGTAATGCAGCTTCTTAGGGAGCTGATCGTTAGACGGCTAGTACTTTTGCCTGCAAGGCGGGAACTTCCAAGTTGTAAAATCTGACAAAGGTGGACGGGGAGGCCCATCCCGCGGCCACACAAATGTCATGAATGGAAATTCCACAGGACCATGCCCACGATGAGGCCATGCCTCTAGTGGAGTGAGCCCTGATGCCCAGAGGGCAGGGCAGGCATTTAGATACGTAAGCAGAGGCAATCGCGTCCACTATCCATCTAGACAGCGTCTGTTTTGAGGCGGCCAGACCCTTGGTGCGCCCCCCAAACGACACGAAAAGCTGCTCAGCGCGTCTGAACGCGGCAGCGCGCGTAGTGTACAATCTCAGGGCCCGCACCGGGCAGAGGAGATTGGCGTCGCGCTCACTATCGGATAAAGGTAGAGCCGATAGGGAAATAATCTGAGCCCTGAACGGGGTACCAATCGCCTTCGGGACATAGCCATGCCTAGGTTTGAGAATGACGACAGAATCATTCGGCCCAAACTCAAGACACGCGGCGCTGGATGAGAGCGCGTGAAGATCTCCCACGCGTTTTACTGAGGACAGAGCCGTCAGAAAAACGGTTTTGAGCGAGAGGTATTTTAGGTCCACAGACTCGAGCGGTTCGAACGGGGGTGCTTTCATAGCTTCGAGAACTATAGAAAGATCCCAGATAAGAACCGAAGGGGGGCGCGGAGGGTTCATCCTCTTAGCTCCCCTGAGGAAGCGGATGACTAACTCGTCTTTGCCCAGGGACTGAGCGCGTCGGGGTTCAGTGAACGCCGCGACGGCTGCCACGTAAACCTTGAGAGTGGAGGGGGACCTGCCCTTGTCCAGCATCTCTTGAAGGAAAACAAGCAAAGACGGCACCTCGCACGACCGTGGGTCCAGATTTTTGTCGGTGCACCATTTTGAGAACACAGACCATTTAGACGCATAGAGCCTTCTCGTGGAAGGTGCTCTAGCCTGTATAATAGTGTTTCTTACTCCCTCTGGCAAATCGACGAATAGTCGTTGATCACCCATGCATGGAGCGCCCAGCGCTGTGGATGGGGGTGCCAGATCGTGCCGCGAGCTTGAGAGAGGAGATCTGCTCTGACTGGGATGGGCCACGGGGCTGTCTGTGACAGCTGAGTGAGCTCCGGAACCCAAGTCTGACTCTCCCAGCGCGGGGCTATGAGGAACATCGAGTGGCGTGTGTCCCTGATCCTCTGAATTACCTGCGGTAGCAGAGCGATCGGAGGGAATGCATAGAGCGGGCGGCGAGGCCATTCCTGGGCTAGCGCGTCCTCGCTCCTTGAAAAAAATATTGGGCAGTGAGCGTTCTCCTCTGACGCGAAGAGGTCCACTTCTGCTCTGCCGAATAGCCGCCACAGTATTTGGACCGTTTGTGTGTTCAGGGACCATTCTCCTGTGGAGATGAGGTTCCTGGACAGTATGTCTGGACCGTCGTTCAGATGGCCCGGCACATGCGTCGCTCTGAGCGAGAGCAGGCGGCTCTGAGACCAAACTAGAATGCGGTGTGTCAGCAGGAAGAGATTCCTGGATCTGACACCGCCCTGACGGTTGAGATAGGAGACCACAGCCATGTTGTCTGAACGGATCAGGACGTGGTGTCCCCTGAATGAGCGGGAGGAAGCGCGAGAGCGCGTTCTCGACCGCAAGCATTTCCAGACAGTTTATGTGCAAGGGGCTTTCCTGAGTCGACCAATGGCCGAAGGCCGGTGAGCCCTCGCAGACCGCACCCCAACCCGTGTTGGATGCGTCTGTCGAGATGACCTTTCGGCGGGAAAAGGTCCCCATCGTGACGCCTCGCCGAAACCATTCTGCTACTGTCCATGGCTGCAGTGCCGTGAGACATGTCTGCGTAACCCTGATCAGCTGGCGGCCCGTGTTCCACGCGCGGTGGGGTACACGGCTTTTTAACCAGAGCTGAAGCGGGCGCATGTGCAGAAGGCCCAGCTGAAGCACAGCGGAGGCTGAGGCCATGTAACCCAGCGCCCTCTGAAAAGTTTTCAGAGGTGTGCGGGTGCCCATCTGAAAAGAGGCGGCTAGTCGCTGAACACTGCGTGCGCGCTGTGTAGACAGGCGAGCCGTCATTGTGACCGAGTTCAAATCTATTCCTAGGAAGGAAATCGATTGACTGGGTTGAAGGGAGCTCTTTGTCCAGTTGACAGAGAGGCCCAGCGTTTTCAGATGGTCGAGGAGAACTGCGCGGTGCGACAGAAGCTCCGTCCGTGATTGAGCCAAAATCAGCCAGTCGTCCAGATAATTCAATATGCGCAGCCCCTGGCTCCGCAGGGGGGCGAGCGCCGTATCCATACACTTCGTGAAGGTACGGGGCGCCAGGGATAAGCCGAACGGGAGAACGGCGTATTGATAAACATGACCCTCGAAGGCGAAACGTAAGAATGGCCTGTGACGGGGATTTATCTGGATCTGAAAATAGGCGTCTTTCAGGTCTAGAGAGATGAACCAGTCCCCCTGGCGCACCTGCGCGAGGAGTTTCCTGATAGTGAGCATCTTGAACGGTCTCTTCATGAGCACTTTGTTCAAAAACCTGAGATCTAAAATCGGTCTGAGGCCGCCGTCTTTCTTGGGAACCAGAAAATAACGGCCGTAAAACCCCGACTCGGTCATAGATGGCGGGACTCTCTCTATAGCGCCCTTTTGCAACAGCGTCGCAATTTCTGAGCGGAGCGTGTTGGCGGCCAGCGGGCTGACAGTAGATTCGAGCCGAGCGCGCGAACGAGGCGGGCGGCGGCGAAACTGTAGCAGATAGCCGTTCTTTATAATGCTTAGCACCCACGGGGAAATGCCTGGAATGGCTTCCCACGCTTTGGAGCATGCGGCTAGTGGCCGAATGGCTATATCGCCCTGATTGCTGCACATAGCGGGCTGGACACAGTGTGTGGGCGCGCTTTGAATGTGTGTGGCAACGGGACTTACACTCAGAGAGGAGTCTATGGGCCGTGAAACAGAGCGAGCAGAGAGGGGACACGCGCATGAGCTCGTGGGCGTGTTTATGTTCTCTGATACTAGAGCGGGCTGTGCCCGCTTCATGTGGGGGGGCTCTGAGAGAGACACAGGATATGTTATGCTTGTGTGTATGGGTGAACACATGATTGTGGGCACATTTTCTACACAACTGGCATATTTTCTCTTTTTGAGATTTCTCTGGGTAGCCGTAAAAACAGCTTTTTGTCGCTCGCAAGCGGGCTGGGACACCGGCTTGTTTGTGGCGGTAAACACTACAGCAGTCGGCGAAACAACGGGGACTGGCAGAGGGTGAAGCTTTGACGGCGGTCCGGCCGCAGCGGGAGAGCGCCGTCGTTTTCTTAACTGTGCTAGGCAGACTTCTGATGATCAGGCTTCAGCGTGATCTTGGGTCGCGGACCCCGTGGGGGCGGCGGTCTGCGGCGGCTGTCAGAGCGAGAGCGAGGGCGGCCGCCCTGTCTGCGCTGGGCTGTTTGAGTCTGCGGAGGAGGGCGCTGTGGTGGGGCTCTGGCAGGAGGCTCGCGAGAGCGGCCTGCGGAAGAGCTAGCGCGGCGGGGCAGAAACAAATTCATGGCCTGAGTGGCTTTCTGGACCTCGGAAAAGCGATCGACGATCCCCGTGACAGCAGATCCAAAAAGGCCCGTCGGGGAGAGGGGCGCGTTAAGAAACGCGGCGCGCTCAGAATCTCCCATGTCGGCGAGCGTGAGCCATAAGTGTCTCTCGGATACACAAAGGCTGGCCATGCATCTCCCCAGAGCTTGTGCGGCGGCTTTAGTGGCGCGAAGGGCGAGGTCCGTAGCACTTCTCAGATCCGTGACAGCGGAGGGGGGGGTTCTACCGCTCTCGGCCCACTCACGGAGAATATCGCTCTGTAGCACTTGGAGGACAGACATAGAATGCAGCGCCGCGGCGGCCTGACCGGCGGCGGCATAGGCGCGAGCATGAAAGCTCGAGGTCGCTCTGCAAGCTTTCGAGGGAAGCGTGGGGGAAGAGCGCCATCTAGCAGAGGGCGGGCAGAGGTGGGCGGCGACCAAGTCCTCAACGGGCGGCATGGCTGAATAACCTTTTTCGGCGGCTCCGTCCACCGAGCGCAGCGAGGCGGAGATATCGGAGCGGTTTCTGGCCGAGAGTGGGGCATTCCAGGACTTCGTCAGCTCTGTGTGAAGTTCAGGCAGGAATGGGGCGGCCCGGTTGCACGCGGGGGTCGAGCGCCGATGAAAAAAGCTGCCGTCCATCCGGTTCGGGGCCTGCTCGGGTGGAGGAGACCACTCGAGACCGAGGCGTTAGACGGCCTGTGAGAGGAGGCGCATTAGTTCCTCCTCTATTCCGGCGCGGATCCCCGCCGACTCTCTCGTGGATCCGAGAGATGACCATTCCTCACTGTCTGACGCGAGCAGTGAACAGGAATCCTTCTCCTCCGCGGCGTCATCGGAAGCGACAGAGCGGCCACTCGGCGGCAACTGTATGTCCGGCTGGGGCGGGGAGGGAGAGCGGGAAGCGGGAGGCGGCGGCGGCGGCCCGCATGGTTCCGCAGGGGGCTCCGGCGGCCTCTGGGCGCGGCGTTTCTTCTTCCGCGCCGAAGAGAGAGGCGGCGCGGGAGCGGATTTAGCCGCCAGAAGTCGTGCCCGCAGGGACGACAACGGCAGGCTCTCACAGAAGTCGCATCCTCCATCAGCGAGGGCGAGTTCCGCGTGCTCGAGTCCCAGGCAGAGAGCGCAAATGACATGGCGGTCTCCGTCCTCGAGAGGAGCGCGGCAAGAGCCGCAGGCGAAGCGAGGCATCTTTAAAAAGACGCTCGCGCTCTTTTAGATAATGAGAGAAGGATACAGTCGTCGGATGGCGCTAGCTTGCAGGGCGGCTGAAGGTGGCGAAGACGGCCGGCTTCTTCAGGGTCCGGGAGCTCGCTAGAGTGATGCCTTCTCGACGGCGACGGCTTTTCTCAAGTCAGCAGAAGCGTGTAGCTCGCTGAAGATGAAATGAATCAACATATAAGCCTGGGAGAGACTGTTATATACACCATAGCCACGCCCATTCTGGCGGGCCATGACGCAATGAGCGCGCGGGCGCTTCTCATTGGCAGCGGGTTCAGCCCCGCTCTCCCATAGGCTTAAGCAGTTCTCTCTGAGCGAACCAATGAGCCGCTAGCTAGCCTGCTCAAGGTCTGCCGCAGAGGAACTGCGTTGTCAATGGATACAAATTATGAAATAATTTTTTGGCTTCAAATTCTCAGCAAAGATGAATCTTTCCCGCAGCGTAAGCTAGCTTACGCAATACGAGAGAACCTCTCGTAAGAGAACTATATATTTCCTAAAACATATTTAAAATATTAAATATTTATTTATATTTAAACATTTATTTTTAAATAGTTTCTTGTTATTTTCACAATAATTTAGATATTCATTGTGAAATAATAGCATGTATGTCATTCAAAATATAACAATAAGTAAAACATTAAATACATTTAAAAATACTGTTATAATCTAATATGACTTCTGCAATGTCTCTTGTGTAGAGTACTCCCGTGTGGTGACCATACCGGCTGGAGCGCGCAGTATCCGTGTAACAGAGCTCAACTCCTCCAGCTCTTATCTGGCCCTGAGGAACCTGCAGAGGAAGTATTACCTGAATGGACGCTGGACAGTGGACTGGCCCGGACAACACTCCATTGCTGGGGCTGTGTTTGACTACAAGAGACCCTACAATCGTCCAGAGAGCCTCACCTCCACCGGACCCACTAATGAGACGCTAGTGGTTGAGGTAGTAGTACTTTTTTATCTTCCATTATTTTAAAACTGGCCAATTACATTCTTTACAATGATAGCACATTTTTCTATGTATTCAGTTTTATTTTGATCTGTAATAAGTCTGCTTCATTGGCACTCACTGTGTCTAATGAGAACGCTGGTCTGGTCTGTCATACTGCTGATTGCCAAAGTCTGTGTTATAGTGTAAAGCGTGTATCTCATCTGCACTGAAATATCTAACATAGATTTACACTGAACAAAATTATAAACGCAACACTTTTGTTTTTGCCCCCATTTTTCATGAGCTGAACTCGAATTAAGCGTCTGCCGCCCGAGTTGAAAAATCTGAACTTTGGCGTCAATTCGCACCGCGTTAACCAATCAGGAGCCTAGCTGCTTGCTGCTGTCACATGGTGAAGTATCTGGATGCTTCAATAAATTATTTTGTAATATGACTAAATGCCTGGTATGGTTCTAATGCACAACAAAGGAAATATTTTATCACATAAAACTTGATTTCAATATATGAGACATATTCATTTTGTATGAAATGCTATTTATTCCATATCTAGATTATATGAAATATTATTATAATGTAAAGACAACCAACATACTATAGTGCATAAGTTCGTGTCTGGACAGTGTTGTGTGAGAGAGAGAAAAATCACAGGACAGGTGGATGAGGGCGAGGGTGATCCTCGCTCCGATGCGGGACAACAGGTCATCAAACTGGGCGCGGGACAGGCGGAAGTACCGCTGAAACCGGCCGTCATCCAGGCGCAGCTCCTGGAGCGAGCAAATGGTGAAACTCGCCAAACTGGGTTCGCCTCCGAAGGGTCTGGTGGACACAAATACAGCGACGATGACTCCTACGCCGCCGTTCTGCTCTCCAGAGCAAATACAGAGCGGTGACTCTCTCGATGAATGCTCGATCAACATAAAAAAGATGGCCGCCAACGGGTTTCGATTCTGACGCGCGTCGCTTCAAACTTTTGTTTTTTACGCGCGTCAATTTCGCTCTTGTCGCGTGAATGGATTCAAAGTGTTCAAGCGTATAACTAGACGCGGTAGGCACGAATTTGACGCGCTATTCGCGTCTGGTGTGAACGCACAGTAAGACTTTTTCTACACACAAAAGGCCTTTTTCTCTCAAATATTGTTCATAAATCTGTCTGAATCTGTGTTAGTGAGCACTTCTCTGTTGCCGAGATAATCCATCCACCTCACAGGTATGGCATATCAAGATGCTGATTATACAGCATGGTTATTGCACAGGTGTGCCTAAGGCTGGCCACAATAAAAGGCCACCCAAAAACAGTTTTACTGTATTGGGGGGTCCAAAAAAGAAAAAAAGGTTGTTGATTGTGGCCCGTGGAATGTTGGTACACTCCTCTTCAATGGCTGTGCGAAGTTGCTGGAACACGCTGTCGTATACGCCGATCCAGAGCATCCCAAACACATTCATTCATGCTGACTGCAGGAATGTCCACCAGAACTGTTGCCCCTGAATTGAATGTTCATTGCTCTACCATAAGCCGTCTCCAAAGGCGTTTCAGAGAATTTGGCAGTACATCCAACCGGCCTCACAACCGCAGACCACGTGTAACCACACCAGCCCAGGACCTCCACATCCAGCATCTTCACCTCCAAGATCGTCTGACACCAGCCACTCGGACAGTTGATGCAATAATCGGTTTGCATAACCAAACAATTTCTGCACAAACTGTCAGAAAACGTCTCAGGGAAGCTCATCTGCATGCTCGTCCTCCTCATCGGGGTCTCAACCTGACTGCAGTTCGTCATCGTAACCGACTTAAGTGGGCAAATGCTCACATTCGAAGGCGTCTGGCACTTTGGAGAGGTGTTCTCTTCACGGATGAATCCCGGTTTTCACTGCACAGGGCAGATGACAGACAGCGTGTATGGAGTCGTGTGGGTGAGCGGTTTGCTGATGTCAACGTTGTGGATCGAGTGGCCCATGGTGGCGGTGGGGTTATGGTATGGGCAGGTGTATGTTATAGACAATGAACACAGGAGCATATTATTGATGTAATTTTGAATGCACAGAGATACCGTGACGAGATCCTGATAATGCACTGGGGGATAACCACCCCCGACCCCCCCGGACCCCCCCAATACAGTAAAACTGCACATTTTAGAGTGGTCTTTTATTGTGGCCAGCCTAAGGCACACCTGTGCAATAATCATACTGTCTAATCAGCATCTTGATATGCCACACCTGTGAGGTGGATGGATTATCCCGGCAAAGGAGAAGTGCTCACTAACACAGATTTAGACAGATTTGTGAACAATATTTGAGAGAAATAGGCCTTTTGTGTACATAGAAAAAGTCTTAGATCTTTGAGTTCAGCTCATGAAAAATGGGCGCAAAAACAAAAGTGTTGCATTTATAATTTTGTTGAGTGTATGTTTAGACTTGATGTACCACATGACATTGTTAGAATTGCTAAATTACAACTTAAAGGGGTACTTCACCAAAATGGGCTTTCAGTAAAACTTGGCTGCCTATTCAGTAGAAAGGTGTTGTTGTTTTTTAATCGGTGCTACCTGACTAGAGAAAACAAAGAAAAAAGGCTGTTGTCTTCCCTTTTGTCAAATAGGTAGAAAAACTTCAACACCAATAATGATTTTATAAATCTTTTAGTGTGGGCCAGCCTTAACAGAGTCAAATACTGCCTTGCTTTAGTAGGAAATACCTCTTGCAAACTTATAGTCATGATGGTGTCAACTTGTATTGCTCCTGTGTGCAAGAATTCAAGAGTAAATGTTTTGAGGGAGTTACTTTCGGTTTCCTTGAAGGATCCAGTGCGTTGTAGGCAGTGGCTAAAGTGATAAACCTACCCTTGGTATAACTGTTCTGTTAATAACTCTCTGTTAATCTGACTGTCCATGGATGGGGATACAAATATGTGGAAGTGCAATCTGTAGTTTTCACAAAAGACCTGGAGCTGTCAAAAGATTTGCTGAAAAATAAAGAGGAATTTCTCAGGTAACACAGAGAATGAGTAAACGTTGATCATTTACATATACTACCGACATTGTAACAATACAAAGCGGGTTTAAAATCGGCGAAGTTACATTTTAAATAAAGGTTTCCTTTTTTTCTCAAAACCATAAAATCAACATGAACTACCAACATAAAACAGTACATTACTAAGATTATGTTTTTTTTACTTACATTTTTAAACATTTTTCCTTTTTTTTTCATTTTGTGGACTTTTATACACACTGTAAAAAAAAATCATAATTTTACAGAAAATAACTGTGATTTTTTGACGATCATTTTCTTTCATTTTAAATTGTACTCAAAACACTGTAAAATTACAAATAATATCTGTCAAATAAAAATTCAGCTGTTATTTTAGGTATTGTGACATTAATGACAAATTGCAGTAATTCACATTTTTTATACAGGAAATTGATTGTATTTTTCATACAGTCTTTTTTCTGTTTTCTTAAATTACATAAAAATGTATGTAAAATTACAAATATAATCTGTAATTAAACAGTAACAAAACAGTTAAATGATAAAACGGTCAAATGACTGGCAGGCCCCAAAAAACTGTAACATTAAAGTAAAAAATCCTAAATTAAATAAACTGAAAAACACTGTGATAATTCAGGATATACCTGTAAAATAACAATCATATACCTTCAGTGGAAAAAAAAAATCGTAAAAAAAGGGTCAAATGACTGGCAGCCACGGCTGCCAAACAAAAACCATAAAATTAAAGTAAAATCTTCTAATTCAAATAAAACAAAAAAACACTGTTATTTCACAGGTATTTCCTGCATTATTATGATCATATCCCTTTATTGTAAAAAAATCGTAAAAAAAGGGTCAAATGACTGGCAGCTACGGCTGCCAAACAAAAACCATAAAATTAAAGTAAAATCTTATAATTCAAATAAAACAAAAAAACACTGTTATTTCACAGGTATTTCCTGCATTATTATGATCATATACCTTCATTGTAAAAAAATCGTAAAAAAAGGGTCAAATGACTGGCAGCTACGGCTGCCAAACAAAAACCATATAATTAAAGTAAAATATCCTAATTTAAATAAAGTGTAAAAAACTTTAATAGAAATGTGATGTCACCATGATTGAGATCAGTGTTTGCTTTAGTTGGGCTCATGACTCTTGAGTTTCAACATTACTTTTTCTCTGGTTGCTTTAACTGTGTTTTGATGCACATTTATTATGGCAATAATTGCAAGAGAAAATATAAGATGATCTTGGTCATTTATTGATGATTGTATAGTCATCATATGATGATCTGATTCATTGATATGACAGTCAAATCTCTATTGGCTGTGAATACATTATATATAGATGGACTTTAGTGTTATACAAAGTTATACTTTTTTTCACATGATTTGTTGAAATATTGTGGGATCAGTATTAATGCAATCTCAAATTTAAAAAAATTATATATTCTACATACATTTTTTTGAGTTGGCTTATATTGTTAGGAGTATGGAGACATCAAGAATCAACATATGAATCTCAACAATGGTGACTATCAACAAAGCCTTTTTGTGACTTTATAATAGGTCAGAATTTTTTTTTCATTGTCACCATTTTTGAGATTCATACGCTAATTCTTGATGCCTGAGTGAAAAAGTCTGTATGATCCTGTCAAAACATTTTTTGCATAATGACTTCATAAAATCTTATATCAAAGCATTGTAGGATCTTCTATAGCAATACTGGCATTCTAAATTAACTAACATTTTACAACTTATTCAGTCATTAAAAAGTCATACCAATCAGGTGGTATCAATACAGCAGACAACTGCTTGATGAATATTATCACTATTAAGTGACCAACATCATCTGATCTGAGTTTCTCTCGATTTCCTACAATAAGAAATATGCATCAAAGACATGCACAGTTAAGAGAAAAACTAATGTTAATATAAGAAGGGTCAAGAGCCCAACTAAAGCAAACACTGACCTCTATCATGGTGACATCAAACTTTATTATTTTCAATAAAATATCACCTTCTAAACCTCTGTTATTTCTCAATAGGAATGTTAGTATGAAAGAAGTCTGGATTGTAATAAGTGAAGATGCTGAGATCTTGAGAGATCTGTTAGTGTTTAATGTTCTGCTGGGATGTAAAGTGTTTCTGTGTGGTGTGTTTTGTGTGTCACCATTGTGTTGAAGAGTAGAGCCTGAGCTTCAGTCCAGGATGAGCAGAGTAACACTGATGAAATGTTGTGTGTTGCTTTATTTAACAGACAGTAACTGTGTAGTTGCTGATGACATATAATCATTAAATCATGCGTGTAGTTTAGATATTTACTGTTTACAGTGAATATATTATTTAGTAAAAATTCAGTAAATATATATATATGTGAAAGAACAGTGTTTCTGTTAAAAAGCTTAATGAAGATTTCTGCAATAGTATTTATTATTTAAATTAGGATATTTTACATTAATTTTATGGTTTTTGTATGGCAGCCATTGCTGACAGTCATTTTACCTTTTTTTCACAGTGAAGGTATTTGATCATAATAATTCAGGAAATAACTGTAAAATAACAGTGTTTTTCTGTAAAACATTTAAGGACAAAGTTTGGAAAAGTTTTTTGCACTCAATTTAAATTAGGATATTTTACTTTATTTTTACGGTTTTTGTTTGGCAGCCGTAGCTGCCAGTCATTGACCGTTTTTTTACGATTTTATTTTTTACAGTGCACTGTAAAAAAAAATCCTAATTTTACAGAAAATAACTGTGATTTTTTGACGATCATTTTCTTTAATTTTAAATTGTACTCAAAACACTGTAAAATTACAAATAATATCTGTCAAATAAAAATTCAGCTGTTATTTTAGGTATTGTGACATTAATGACAAATTGCAGTAACTCACATTTTTTATACAGGAAATTGATTGTATTTTTCATACAGTATTTTTTCTGTTTTCTTAAATTACATAAAAATGTATGTAAAATTACAAATATAATCTGTAATTAAACAGTAACAAAACAGTTAAATGATAAAACGGTCAAATGACTGGCAGCCCCCAAAAAACTGTAACATTAAAGTAAAAAATCCTAAATTAAATAAACTGAAAAACACTGTGATAATTCAGGATATACCTGTAAAATAACAATCATATACCTTCAGTGGAAAAAAAATCGTAAAAAAGGGGTCAAATGACTGGCAGCTACGGCTGCCAAACAAAAACCATAAAATTAAAGTAAAATCTTCTAATTCAAATAAAACAAAAAAACACTGTTATTTCACAGGTATTTCCTGCATTATTATGATCATATACCTTCATTGTAAAAAAATCGTAAAAAAAGGGTCAAATGACTGGCAGCTACGGCTGCCAAACAAAAACCATAAAATTAAAGTAAAATCTTCTAATTCAAATAAAAAAAAAAAAAAAACACTGTTATTTCACATGTATTTCCTGCATTATTATGATCATATACCTTCATTGTAAAAAAATCGTAAAAAAAGGGTCAAATGACTGGCAGCTATGGCTGCCAAACAAAAACCATATAATTAAAGTAAAATACCCTAATTTAAATAAAGTGTAAAAAACTTTAATAGAAATGTGATGTCACCATGATTGAGATCAGTGTTTGCTTTAGTTGGTCTCATGACTCTTGAGTTTCAACATTACTTTTTCTCTGTTTGCTTTAACTGTGTTTTGATGCACATTTATTATGGCAATAATTGCAAGAGAAAATATAAGATGATCTTGGTCATTTATTGATGATTTTATAGTCATCATATGATGATCTGATTGATTGATATGACAGTCAAATCTCTATTGGCTCTATTATATATAGATTGACTTTAGAGTTATACAAAGTTATACTTTTTTCACATGATTTGTTGAAATATTGTGGGATCAGTATTAATGCAATCTCAAATTAAAAAAAATTATATATTCTACATACATTTTTTTGAGTTGGCTTATTTTGTTAGGAGTATGGAGACATCAAGAATCAACATATGAATCTCAACAATGGTGACTATCAACAAAGCCTTTTTGTGACTTTATAATAGGTCAGAATTTTTTTTTAATTGTCACCATTGTTGAGATTCATACGCTAATTCTTGATGCCTGAGTGAGTCTGTATGATCCTGTCAAAACAAATTTTGCATAATGACTTCATAAAATCTTATATCAAAGCATTGTAGGATCTTCTATAGCAATACTGGCATTCTAAATTAACAATTAACATTTTACAACTTATTCAGTCATTAAAAAGTCATACCAATCAGGTGGTATCAATACAGCAGACAACTGCTTGATGAATATTATCACTATTAAGTGACCAATATCTTCTGATCTGAGTTTCTCTCGATTTCCTACATTAAGAAATATGCATCAAAGACATGCACAGTTAAGAGAAAAACTAATGTTAATATAGGAAGGGTCAAGAGCCCAACTAAAGCAAACACTGACCTCTATCATGGTGACATCAAACTTTATTATTTTCAATAAAATATCAACTTCTAAACCTCTGTTATTTCTCAATAGGAATGTTAGTATGAAAGAAGTCTGGATTGTAATAAGTGAAGATGCTGAGATCTTGAGAGATCTGTTAGTGTTTAATGTTCTGCTGGGATGTAAAGTGTTTCTGTATGGTGTGTTTTGTGTGTCACCATTGTGTTGAAGAGTAGAGCCTGAGCTTCAGTCCAGGATGAGCAGAGAAACACTGATGAAATGTTGTGTGTTGCTTTATTTAACAGACAGTAACTGTGTAGTTGCTGATGACATATAATCAGTAAATCATGCGTGTAGTTTATAGCAAGATATTTACTTTTTACAGTGAATATGTTTTTTAGTAAAAATTCAGTAAATATATATATATATATATATATATATATATATATATATATATATATATATATATATATATATATATATATATGTGTGAAAGAACAGTGTTTCTGTTAAAAAGCTTAATGAAGATTTCTGCAATAGTATTTATTATTTAAATTAGGATATTTTACATTCATTTTATGGTTTTTGAATGGCAGCCATTGCTGACAGTCATATTACCTTTTTTTCACAGTGAAGGTATTTGATCATAATAATTCAGGAAATAACTGTAAAATAACAGTGTTTTTCTGTAAAACATTTAAGGACAAAGTTTGGAAAAGTTTTTTGCACTCAATTTAAATTAGGATATTTTACTTTATTTTTACGGTTTTTGTTTGGCAGCCGTAGCTGCCAGTCATTGACCGTTTTTTTACGATTTTATTTTTTACAGTGTATGTAATTGACTCCTAAATCATGCAGATGTCCTTGTTACCATACAAAATGGAATTATGGTTAAAAACGACCTGCATTTAACACATTTGACTGTGAAATGTTCTGATAGCAGGAGACATTGTTCGGCGACACAGCATATGGGAGGCTTTTTGTCGTAAAACAAAGGAATCAGTGTACAGTGAATGTTTGGGTGATTTCCTATGGTGTTCATTAGGCCTTGTATGTTTCTCCTTGCACAGGTTCTCTTGCAGGGCTGGAACCCAGGCATTCAGTGGGAGTACACACTGACCAAAGACCATACAGAGAGACGGAGCCAGCCAAAACACAACTACACGTGGGCCATCATTCGCACGCAGTGCTCTGCCACCTGTGCAGGAGGTACTGCATCAGTCTGATGATCCTAGTAGATACTAATGGCCAGATGTTTAGGCCAGACCTTACAGTCACATGTTAATCTGTTAAACACTTAAACCACACCAATCTTTTAGAGTTTCTGTGAGTCTGTAATTCTGGTCCAGCTCAAGCTCATGATGATGCCTTGGTTATTGCAATAAACCAAACATCATTCATATGTGCTGATTAAATTTACACGTTCATTATACAATTAATATGCACAGAAAACAAATCTGATTTGAATCTTTATATTTATTGAAACATGAGGAATTACATTTACATGTATGCATTTTGCAGATACATTTAACTTGCATTGCATTCAAGGTGGTGCATTTTGTAGGTTCATGCATTCCATGAAACTCAAACCCATGACTTGGGCGTTGCAAACGTCTGCTCTACTATTTTAAATCATTATTCACTGAAAATCTAGACATCCGTCCTATCTCTACTTGGCACATTCATAAGAGTTTATGACAGAAGCATGAATCCATTGATTCAGTTCCCCTTCAGGGACTACCGCTGCGTGTAATCGCAGTGGGAACGCCCTCAGCGTGACGCGTCTGAAGCATGAATGAAATCAGTCAATGGAGAGAATGAGCGTACGGCGAGTGACGTCATCGACCAGGAAGCTATAAATATCCCCTGAGCACACAATACGCCAGCTTTTTGTACTTCAGCAAGCTCTGTGTGTGTCTGAATCTGTCGATTGTGTTTGTCTGTTTTGTCAGGAGTTTATCACTATATATATTATATAAAAAAAACTATATGAGCGAGCAGTATAAGAAGTGTGTTCCCCCCTGTACTCGATACATCACGGGTGGGGATTCACACGAGCTATGTGTGGCTTGTTTGGGAGTGCAGCATGCCCAGTCGGCTCTCGAGGGAGTCGATTGTGAGCATTGCGAGCGCTTTCCTCTGAGAACTCTGCGCTCGCGGCGATCGCTCTTCGAGGAGAGTGGTTTGCTGCGAGCTCCCCAAGGCTCGGGTCCCGCTTCTGTTGAGGCAGAGCGGCGGCGCTTGTCTTGGGGTTCGCAGATGGATCTCACCGGCGACGTTGAGACGGGCCCCGCCCTATCTCAGCTTTCTCTGGCGGGATCCAGTGCCTCTCACCCGGCTTTGGAAGCACGCGCTGCGGCGGTTACTTCTGCCCGGGTGGAGGCACATGATGATGTTGAATTAAGATTATCCAGTTCTGAGGAGCTGGATGTCGAAAGTTTTGCATCAGAGGAAACTAGTTTGTCACATTATACTGCAAATGAAGAAGGTTTGATGGATGTGTTATCTCGGGCTGTTGAAAAGCTCAGTATCGAGTGGCCAGCTGATAGACAGGAGTCTAGTAATAAAAGTAAACTAGATGATAGATTTCTGTCTGCAAGACCTCAACCTTCTCGCCGGTGCTTACCGTTCTTCCCAGATTTTCATGCTGAGGTTTCAAAGACTTGGGTTAGACCGGTTTCAAGCAGAATTTACACAAATCAGTCCAATGCTTTTGGTAACATTGTTGGTGCTAAATCTGCTGGTTATGTGACGATGCCGGAGGCGGAGGAGACGCTCGCGAGCTATCTCTCTCCAGCTTCATCATCTTCACTTAAAGCACCGGCTCTGCCCTCTAAACCACTAAAAAATACTTCTGTGTTAGTGGGGAAGGCTTACTCGGCGGCGGGTCAGGCGGCTGCATGTCTACACACTATGGCCATTATGCAGGCTTATCAGGCTGACCTGCTTAAAGATGCGTGTGAAGGGGGGGAAATTTCTGTTGAAATGATTAATGAGCTCAGGCAGACTGCTGATCTCACTCTCCGGGCCACCAGGGAGACAGCTAAATCTATCGGCCGGTCTATGGCAACCATGGTGGCCACAGAGAGACACTTGTGGTTGATTCAGACCTCTATGAAGGAAAAAGATAAGACTCTCCTTTTAAATGCTCCAGTTTCGCCTATGGGCCTCTTTGGTGACGCTCTTCTTTCTGTCACGGAGAGGTTCCAGGAAGAGAAGAAACAGGCGGCTGCTTTTCAGAAATGTATGCCCCTTAAAGTGCGTGTCGCTGGGGCTGCTGAGCGAGGGCAGTCCCAGTCGCCGAGTACCTTAAAAAGAGTGCAGCAGAAACGAAGTGTCGCGTCTCGTGCCCCCCCCCGCAGAGAAACTGGAGGGACGAGGCGGGGCGCTCTCCGGCGCGACCTTCCCGCGGTAGGGCTGATCTGAGGACAGTCATTATCGCCAAGAAGGCCGCGTCGAAAAAACTCTGAGGGTGGTCCCCATCGTGAAAGACTTGAGTTCACTGCACAAAAACACGGTGCCCTGTCTTTCCCGATGCCCTCAGGGGTCTGCTCTACTTACCCTGCCTTTACAGGGCGTAGAGAGACTCGGCGAGCGATTTCCCGAGGGACGCTCGCCCCCTCCGAGGAGGGTTGTGGAGTGCCCAGACCAGCTGTTCCCTGCCAGTGTGTTACAGGGCGCTGTGTCTGTCACTCGGGATGTTCATCCAGAGGCCAGCGTCGAGAGGCTGGTTCCCTTAGTAGAGTTCCTGGTGGAATGGAAAATTCTCCCCAATGTTTCTCAATGGGTCCTGAATACTATAGAGAACGGGTACGCTATTCAGTTCAGAACACATCCACCTCGGTTCAGAGGGGTTCTGCCCACAGTGGTGGGCCCCGAGCAGGCTCTGGTATTAGAACAGGAGGTAAAAACTCTGCTGCAAAAAGGGGCTATAGAACGGGTTCCCCCACCCAGCAGGGAGTTAGGATACTACACCCGGTACTTCATCGGGAAAAAAAAAAATCCTGACGTGCTGAACGTCAGGACTCTGAGGGTGGTCCCCATCGTGAAAGACTTGAGTTCACTGCACAAAAACACGGTGCCCTGTCTTTTCCGATGCCCTCAGGGGTCTGCTCTACTAACCCTGCCTTCACAGGGCGTAGAGAGACTCGGCGAGCGATTTCCCGAGGGACGCTCGCCCCCTCCAAGAAGGGTTGTGGAGTGCCCAGACCAGCTGTTCCCTGCCAGTACGTTACAGGGCGCTGTGTCTGTCACTCGGGATGTTCAAATCAGATCCGAGGACTGGTTTGTCACGATAGATCTAAAGGTGCTTACTTCCATGTATCTATCCTCCCTCAACACAGGAAGTTCCTGAGGTTCGCTTTCGGGGGCGAAGCGTATCAATATCGGGTTCTTCCGTTCGGCCTAGCACTGTCACCCCGAACATTCACGAAGTGTATGGAGGCTGCTATAGCCCCGCTGAGGTTACAGGGTATCCGCATTCTGAACTATATAGACGATTGCTTGATTCTAGCTCAATCGGAACAACAGGCGGTTCGGCACCGAGATGTCGTTCTTGCTCATATCAAGTGACTGGGGCTGAGGCTCAACGCCAAAAAGAGTGTTCTTTCTCCATTACAGAGAACCACTTTTCTAGGTGTAGTGTGGGATTCAACGACGATGCAGGCACGATTGTCACCTGCTCGTATTGCTTTGATTCTCGCCGCAGTAGATCAGGTCAAGCTAGGCCAGTCATCCACTGTAAAACAGTTCCAGAGACTGTTAGGTCTCATGGCAGCTGCGTCCAACGTGATACCTTTTGGCCTCTTGCACATGAGACCGTTACAGTGGTGGCTCAGAACCAAGGGATTCTCCCCGAGGGGAAATCCGCTTCGCATGATCGTGAGTTCGTGACGGTGTCATCGCGCCCTGATCATGTGGAAAGATCCTTGGTTTCTGTCCCAAGGCCCTGTGTTAGGAGCTCCTTGTCATCGCGTTATGCTAACGACAGATGCCTCTCTCACGGGTTGGGGGGCGATCATGGATGGTCGCCCGGCTCAGGGTCTGTGGGAGGACCATCATCGTCTGTGGCACATAAAATGCCTAGAGATTTTGGCGGTGTTTCAGGCTCTGAAACACTTCCTCCCAGACCTAAGGGGCCACCATGTTCTTGTCCGGACAGACAACACATCGGTGGTTTCTTATATCAACCATCAGGGGGGTCTGCGTTCTCGCCCGCTTTACAAACTGGCACGTCAGATCCTTCTATGGTCCCAGGGGAAAATTCTTTCTCTGAGAGCTATTTATCTCCCGGGGTATTTAAATCAGGGGGCAGACATCCTGTCAAGACAGGGGCCGAGGCCCGGGGAATGGAGTCTTCACCCTGAGGTGGTGGAACTCCTATGGAAACATTTCGGTCGTGCCGAGGTAGACCTATTTGCTTCTCGAGAAACATCACACTGCCCGCTGTGGTTTTCTCTCAGCCATTCAGCCCCGCTGGGGTTGGATGCGATGGTACATCCGTGGCCGAGGTCACGTCTGTACGCTTTTCCCCCGATCGCTCTGCTCCCGGGAGTTCTGGAGACGGGAGTTCTGCCGGGACGGGCTCAGTCTCCTGCCAATAGCCCCGTTCTGGCCGGCCCGAGTATGGTTTGCGGACCTAGTGTCTCTCCTCGACGGCTCTCCCCTGGAGATACCGATCAGGAGAGATCTGCTCTCTCAGGCGAGCGGGTCGATCCAAAAAATCACCCCCGCCCAGAGCTATGGAGGCTGTGGGCTTGGCCTCTGAGGGGGCCCAGCTCATAGATTCTGGTCTCTCGGCTGAGGTCGTTGAGACCATCCTCCAATCCAGAGCTCCCTCCACGAGGAAGTTATATGCCGCGAGGTGGAAACTTTCACCTCTTGGTGTGGAGAGCGCCAGCAGGACCCAGTTAACTGCCCGGTCGGTACAGTGCTGGATTTCCTGCAGGACCGTCTCTCCACAGGGTTATCCCACTCCACACTGAAGGTGTATGTGGCGGCCTTAGCTGCTTACCACACCCCTTCAAGTGGAGGTTCCCTCGGGAAACACCCACTTATGTCTCGCTTCCTTCGTGGCACCTTGAGGCTGAGGCCTGCAGTTCGCACGAGGGTACCAGCTTGGGATCTGGCCATCATCTTAGAAGGTCTCTCCCTTGCTCCTTTCGAGCCCATCGAGGAAGTTTCGGAAAAGTTTCTTACTCTAAAGACTATCCTTCTTCTCGCTATCTCATCTCTAAAAAGAATTGGAGATATTCAAGCACTTTCGGTGGCTCCCTCGTGCCTGGAATTTGCTCCTGGTATGGTTAAGGCCTTTCTCTTTCCGAGACCAGGTTATGTTCCTAAGGTTCCAACTGTTGAGGGCAGCTGAAGGGTCAATAACTGCTTTAGGACGTCCTTTAACCCAGATGTCAAACTCCCTCCGGACGACCTCTGGAAAGCTGTGTCTTCAGCTCAAATACCTTAAACTTTCCTTAAGTTCATGAATGATGGTCAGAGGACACGGTTTTATGACCATTATGTTCATATCAGCAGTGGATTCATGTTGTGGTATATATATATACAGTATATATATATATGTCTTGTCTGTTGTTAAAATAGATTTTCACCTTATAAAAACTACATTTACGTGATGAATTGACATGTGTTGTTGGTGTTCATTCCTCAGGTCAGATGGTCACTAAATCAGCCTGCTACAAGGATCTGAGACTTCAGGTGAACACGTCTTACTGTAACTCTCGAACTCGGCCATCGACCGGTGTGGTGTCCTGTAACACACAGCCCTGCCCCGCAAGGTAACTTCACCACTGATCTCCTCTCGTCTCTTTACACACTGAGGGCTGTGATTTGGAGATGCTTCTAGAGAAAGGAACCAGTGTTAATTTAGTATTATTTAAAGGTAGGGTATGGGATTTGCAAAACGGCCGGCAGATTTTTAAAATACACAACTCAAAAGGTCCTACCTTCTTTCCTCCAACGCTGGTGCTGACTTCACCCATTCGAAGAGCATGGACGCGCCTCAGATGCGTGCAAAACTCAGATGTGCGAGATTGCACTTACTCTCTCTCTCTCTGTACCGGGGCGACTTGCACTTACTGTGACTGGGTCACGAGCTTTGAGTATGCGTGTTGAGGGACACGCGCGCGAGGGGGGTATGGTACGACCGTTTGATTGACGCACTTAAAGTCCAATGATTCTAGGTGGTCTTGGAAATGATTGGCTGGAGTTTTTCGAGTCCTGCCCGTTCCACAGATGATTAAATTGCTTAATTTTCATTTCAGTGCTTCTAACTCAGAAAGTTTAGTTTCTAAACTTTAGAAACTAAAGTTTACTTTCTAACTAAGAAAGTTTAGTTTCTAACTCATTTTGAAACTCAAGTTTCAAAATGAAACTTAATTTTCATTTCAGTGCTTCTAACTTACTAACTGTAAGTGGGTTAGGAATAGGATTTCAAGTGATTTTGAAAAAAATGGTCAAAAAAGAAAATCACATACCCCACCTTTAAATACTATTGAATTTTGAGTTGGGTTTTGATTTTAATTTTAGGTCAAGTTGTTGTACCCTCTAAAAATGATGAGTTGGCTCAACAACAAAAAAATTAACGCAATTGTTTGCATACATTTTTTTGAGTTATGACAACTTCAAATTAAATTGTTCAACCAACAAACTATATATAAACTATATGATTGTGTTATCCCAGCTAAGAGAGAACGTTCTGGCAAGGTTCTTTCAAAGTTGTGAACAAACGTCCTTCGGATGAGACGTTAAACCGAGGCCCTGACTCTCTGTGGTCAGTAAAAATCCCATGGCACTTCTCGGAAAGAGTAGGGGTGTAACCCCGGTGCCCTGGCCACATTCCACCTATTGGCCCTTATCAATCATGGTCTCCTAATAATCCCCATCCACTGAATTGGCTCTATCACTCTCTCTCCTCTCCACCTGAGGCTGGTGTGTGGTGAGCGCATTGGCGCCGTTGTACTGTGGCTGCCGTCGCATCATCCAAGTGGATGCTCACTGGTGCTGGTTGAGGAGAGATTCCCTGATATGATTTCTGAAAATTCTCTGAACATTAAGAAATAACATTTTCATAACATCGTTAGCACGTTAGAATATATTTTTGTTAGATGGAATTTTGCTCAACAAATGCCTTTCACACCACAAACCAATCATTCAAAGTTAAATTTGCATATGTTTATTATGCTTTCTGGAAAGTTATTTTTATTCATATGATAATTACCACATGGTTCTGACTGGTTGCACGTATTTGAAACAAGACACAGATGTTGTCTGATCTGGTCATTGCAGCAGATCACAGAAAAGCCTAGTGTGTGTGTATGTGTGTGTGTATGTGTTTCTCGTGTCCCTCTTCAGATGTTTTAAAAGGGTCTCCATGGCAGCGTCATGCAGAGCAAGTTTTTGTTTCGCATGCCGAGTCCACCTAGACTCCAGGGCAGAGCGATCCACTGTGTCTCACAAGTAATTCCCAATAATGTCTGAAGGCTTGGAAAGGTAGACAAACAGAATGACACTCACACCAGGTCTGCCAAAACTGCCTCCAGTTCAGAGAGCTGGTTACAGCAAAGGCATCTTTACAGTTTAGCTTTAGCGCAGTGAGTTTCCTCTGAGAGACACCTAACGACTGAGAGCTGCTCTTAAAGTATTAAAGTGTCTGAAACTCCTGTAAAACCTGTTTAATACTGAGCTGTTCCCCCCCCCCCCCCCTAAGTCTAGCAGTGTTTTCTTTGGCAGTGAGATCCGGGTCTTACTCCCCCGTCTCTTATTATTGCTCATCTTCTCAGTTTCTCCCCCATTCTCCCGTATCTTCAGTGTAAGAAGTAATCACATACTATAATCCTGCTAAGCATCTACAGCTGTTTAAACTGATGGAAAAACACTAGTTTGCTTCTCCCGTTTATCCCATCTTATGTCCTGTGCATCTGTAAAAAAAAAAAAAATATATATATATATATATATATATATATTATTTATACAGCATTTAATACATAAAAACAGGATTTAGATTTACACTAAGGAAAAAAATAATATTTTATGTATGCTATTCAAAAATAAGTTAATACGATTTGTACATGTCTCTTAGTCTTATGCTCAGCAAGGCTGCATTTATTTGATCAAAAATACAGTAAAAACAGTAATATTGTGAATTATTGTTATGGGATTGTTCACCTAAAAATTTTAATTCTGTTATCATTTACTTCCCCTCAAGTTGTTCCAAACCTGTATAAATGTGTTTCTTATTATTATTAATTATTAATTCTTCAAAGGAAGATATTTGCTTTTAAAGAAATCGTTTTTTAAGGACAACAAACGGCTGGCAGGGACTACATTCCTCCCGGGTTACCAACCCTAGAATTTACATAAACCCCGCCCCCGGAACACGATTTATAGATTATCAAGACAGAATATGCTAATCAATGACTAGAAAATAGTTAACTCCACATCAGCTGCATTAATTCTTCAACTAACCATTCAGAAATGTCCAGTTGCTTTCTACATGTTGTCACTTCTTCTTGAAGTCTCTCCATCATTGTCTGACTCCGGTTTGAACATAAAACTTTTCAGTGCATGTCTGTGTGAGGTAAAAGGACACAAGCTGTTGTAGCTCCGCCCCCTGTGCCGGGAGCAGCAGCTCATTTGCATTTAAAGGGACAGACACAAAACCGGTGCGTTTTTGCTAACTCTCAAAAAGTGACAATTTTAACATGCTATATAAAAATATCTGTGGGGTATTTTGAGCTAAAACTTCAGATACATCTGGGGACATCAAAGACTTATTTTACATCTTGAGAAAAGGCCATTATACCACCCCTTTAAGTAAAGTCCAAATATGTTTTCCAAGTGTGTTTTGTATACTAAAATCCAAGTTCTAGTAGCCTATACTTGTATGCATACTATTTATTATTGGAACTAAATTTGCCATATTTTTTGTTTATAAAAGTATACTACTGTAAAAAAAAAACAATAGAAAACAGTACTAAATGAGTTTACATCAAGTTTTAAACTTACAAGTTGTCACAACCCCTGCTTGAGACTGTTTCATGTTTTTGTTTTGTTCCTGTTTAGTTTGTAGTCAGTTTGTAGTTTTCTCTGTTTATTAGCTTTATTGATTGTATCCCAGGTGTATCTTGTCATGCTTGTTTGCCCTTTTATCCCTGTCTGCGTCCCAATTCGCCTACTTATACTACATCCTAAAAGTATGCACTCATTTTGTGAAGAAAGAGCACAGACTTTTGAGTGTGTAGCAAAATAAAGGCACGCTTTGGGACATACTACTTTGTCATCTTTAACGGACAGCTCTGTCGCGAATTTGCACAAATTAATGCAGTAGAATAAAGAGAGAGATGAAATAAGCATGGGTTTTCAGGTGGGTCCAACAGTATATTCAGGTAAGAAATACTACAGAAATGAAAGTAATCAAATGTAAAATAACACTAGATAATCTTCTTTGAAAAAATTAAATACAGATTAATGCATACAATTCAAGTTACAAAAGTTATTTAGTCAAAAGCAGAAAGTAATTTTATTTGTCTGTTGTTCTTTGATTAACATGACAGACTGCAGAAGGAATATTAGACTGCTGTCACTTTAAGAGTTTATGTACGGATCCAATATACTGTTACACAACATGCGTTATCTTTCTCAACTATTTATGTTCCAAAACTGACTGCGTTTAACTGAATACTCGCCAAGATGGGCATTTTGACATAATTCTGTGTATTTGACCGTTTAAGCACAGTAAGCCACACTTTACAAACTGTTTGAGAGGCGATTTTTTTCACTGGTCTGGATTGAGCATGCGGAAAATCGAAAGTCGATCGGCACATCTCTAATTAATTCAAAGACACAGAATTATTATGGAAGACAAAAGCATCGAATAGACAGATACTAAATCAGAAGTTAACATGTAAAGTTATCTTGAGATGCCTTTGAGGGAGCTTGTCTGATTTCCATTGGTAAAAGGTTCCAGCTTTTGCAGTAATAAAGAGGGAAAACATTAGACAAAAAGCTGCACTTTAACACATTCACCTAGAGCAGAACCTGAATCCCATGAACCTACGAGTCTCTCCAGCTCTAGACTTGAGTTTAGTGATTGAAACAAACAGGTAATTTCCCCAGTTCCGTGTGAGAACACACTTCATCCATCATCTTTGCATGAACTCAAAGCTGATTTGATGCCTGACAAAGAAAGGCATTGCCTAGTAAACATTGTTCAGATGAATTGGTCCACTGATGGGTGTCTGGCAGCTTGGTCTGGGTGCGGTAGGACGTTTGAGCCACGGGGTGAAGGGTCACATTGAACAACTGGCATGTCTGGGTTCCTGTCCAGGGTGTACCATACATTACTCAGATGTTGGCATCACCGTTCATCTATTCCTGGGACAGTGACAAAGCTGACCTCATAACCCTGACCCCAATCAGGACCAAGTCTGGACAATCATAGTCTAACATTGGATATCATTGGATATGACAATTCACGACAGGCAGATCCAAGAAACAGCTCTGAAACAAGACAGTGATGCTGATCACCAGGGACACATGAGAGACTGTGTTGCATTCTGTAGGTTTGTTGTTGTTTGTTGTTTTTGCTTCTATGGTTTTTCGTGATGTTTTAGATTCAGATGTCAGAACTGTTATTATTTATTCCACATGATTGTGCAACAACTTGTTCTGACAGAATAATTTGAGCTGACACAATGCAAATTAGAAATATCCATCTCTGTCTCGACATGTACAGTAATATGGCTAATGCGCTGATTTATGATGGAGGATATTGAAT